ACCGTTCTTCAGCGTCCGCGCGGCTTGAGCAGGAAAACAAGAACACACCATCATCTTCTGTTTATATTTAACGTCTGCTTCCTCAATCAGAGCTCTGATTGCAGTTCCTTTTGTTGAATATCAGTGTAAAAAGATTCTTTCTCACAAAACTGACCAAAATACATGATTCATTTTTGCCACCTTTCCAAGAATTGTGTGAGTGTGTGTGTGTGATGAAAACAGATGTATTTGTGTCAGTCCGAAACTGGCACAGATAATTATGAAGAAAAATAAAGCATAATCAGTATGATTTTGGTCCCTCTTTAATTCTGTCTTTAACTACTAAAATACTAATGTTCAGATAACTGTGTACTTGTTGAAATGATAGAATCAGAGAAGTTAAATACTGTTTTTAGATTGTGTGTGTGATTAGTATTAGTCATTTATGTAGTTGTCTTTTCATTATTTAATCATATTTTTATTTTATTTATATAAAGTATCATTGAATGATTTATTCATCATTTTATTCCTTTTTATCATTTTGTGTTTTATTATGACTTATCTCATCTCTTGCAATGCTTGCCATTGTGGTTCACTCCTATGATTGTGTGGTCAAGGGATATTTCATGAGTTAGAGATTAAAGAATGTCTCCATGTAAAAGTTAACTTCACAGGGCATTGAAACTAAGGTGATTCAATAAACTCTGCACTCTTTTTTATCATCATTGCGTTGTCTCCTGGCTCTCTCAGTCAAACGCTCAGGATGAAAGACGACTGTTTTGGGAACCAGAGAAGACTTGCTGTTGACAGGTTATACTGATCTCTTGACAGGATCCAGCGTCTGGGATCTGATATTTCTGACGTGGCAGGGCTCCAGCCTAACTTTTCCACTGGTTGCACTGGTGCTACCAACTTTCTCAGTTGGTCGCACCAGCATATGATTTGGTCGCACCTTTTTTTTTTTTTGGCTACATGCCATGGGATTAATCAATGCATGCTGATGAATAGTGGTTTTAATGGACCAAGGCTAGCAAAGGATTTCTGGGTAGCAGCATAAATACCTCTAATATATTATATAAAAACACATGTAATATATGATAATTATCATTTTCATGGATTTTGGACAGTAATTTTAATCTGTAATTTTAAGCATTTAACATTTGAATTATCACTAAAAAATGCTGGGTTGTTTCAACCCAAATTTGGGTCTAATATGGACAACCCCAAATGTTGGGTTAAAAATGTAATAAAACATTTTTACAGTTGAAAGTGAAAGTTGGGTTAAAATTAAATTTTTAACCCAACATTTGGGTTTGTCCATATTTGACCCAAATTTGAGTTTAAACAACCCATCATTGTTTAGAGTGTATACAATCTATTTACATTTGAATTATATTATATCTATCTATCTGTCTGTATATTATCATCTTTCTATCTTTTAAAAATCATTAAACATTCAAATGTATGCATTACATTTTAAAAGATTAGATTATTATAATACGCTGATACAGATTTTCGTTATCAAAGTTTTAGTTGTAACAAAAATCAGAAATCTCACACTCCTGACCTTACCTTCTGCATTTTATAATCATTTCCTTTTCCTCTGTGGAGCGATTACTCTCATCTAACCGCTGAAAAGACGTAGGAAGGGGCTCGGTGTTTCGTGAGACCTTTGTAATTTTTATATGCCTTAATTCCTGAATTCGTAATTGGCGCGTTTCACCATCAGTGTGCAATGCGCGTGACGTCTACGTTCGTCAATAAATAAACTGCATGTGTCTTGCGGAAGAACACTGTAGCCGGAGCTACTTCTCTCCATTAATGTCTATGGGTTTGGAAAATGGATTCATGATGTACTCGCTCATTTTGAACATAAGTTATGTTACGGACTGCAGCAGCTGCTGATACAGCGGCATTCTGTTGCGCGAGCGTCCACTCGCACTAATGCGACCACATACAATTCTAACTCGCACATTCTCAAAAAACGGTCCCATATGCGACCAATTTGGTTGCAGTCTGGAACCCTGCGTGGGGATTCCATCCGATTTAACATTTTGGCGTAGTCAGCAGGATGCCGTGACATCACCGTTTTCTCCAGACCGGCTGTATAGATAAATTAACTAAATTAAGGCTGAGAGCTTCAGAAAAACTGCAACAATAAGCAATTAAAGATGGTCAAAATGGCTGAAAAAACCCCCAAATACAATCACTGTAATATGATTAACTTGCTTATCACTTTTGCTGTTATCAAATTATTACGGTGTTGTCAGTGTGAGATGACAGAGACACAAAAGGTTTGGTGTTAATATGCCAAAGCATTGCAGGGTTAAAGCCTCAGAATCAGCTTTTGATAACTTTTTGCCGGCATCTTCTGAAGATGATCGGAGACAATTTTGGTGAAAAACAGACAAACGGTCTAGAAGAAGTTTGAAAAAGTAGTTTTTCAAAGAAATTCAAAATGGCAGACAGGAAGTTTGAGCAAATATGGTATCATTGTTCTCGGCATTACCCAAGGAATCTATCAATACCAGTTTAATTAAAATAGCCAAAATTAATACAATTTTAATCAAAGCATTTTTGGAAATTTTACTTTTGACTACAAAGTCTTGAAACTTTGTGAGTACCTTCAGGGCAAGTTCCCAATGACATACCAAGTGTCATAACGATACCCATATGCGTTCGTAAAATACAGCATTTTAGGACAAAATTCTAAATGGCCGACGCCCACAATACCCAATATGGAAAACGTGGGCATTGACTCAGCATGATGCACTGAAGCAGAAGAGACCAGTGTTATAATTATTTGGGTAAACCATTGAGTAAAAAAGGACAATTTTCATATTTCCTGACCAGTAGGTGGCACTGTGCCAAAACACTGCATGTAGCCTCATGTCATGCTTGGGATGACATGTACCAAGTTTGGTCTGAATACGCTAAAGCGTTGCGGAGATATAGCCTTCATCAAATCCGTTTGTGCAAGAATGGTTGGACATATCAAAAAGCTTTCGATAATTTTTGGCAGAATGGTCTGAAGATGATCTGATTACATTATGAAAATCGAACGAACCGTCTAAGAGTTAGAAAAAGTATGTTTTTGGAAAAATTCAAAATGGCCGTAAATTCTCAGGACACCCCTACGGTTCAAAAGTTATTAGCATAAGCATAAGTGAAAATTTGCTCAATTGGTGGCGTTAGAGGGATTGAGTTAGAGGCTCCAAATTTGCTGTGGTAAATGTTTGGACTTTCCTCTGTGTATCAAACTTCACACATTTTTACCATAGGCTGCCATAGACTTACAGAGCGGAAGAAAACTAACGGGCACCTTCGGTTTTTGGCCCCTAAAAAGCATACGCACTGTGGACAGAGTTACAGCTGGATACACCGACCCGATTGTCTGCAGAGAGATTTTTTTTTTTTTGCTAACAACAACAATAACCATGTAAATGGGTTAGTATAAACTCATATGTTAGATTAAGAAACACAAAAAGGTAGTGATGTGAGGTTCAGCAGAGAGGCTTCGAAGCTTGTATCAAAAAAACGAAACATCTCACAGAGAAGCACTGTACCGGAGCTTGATTTGTCTCGCAATAACCACGCGATCCGTGACGTCCAAGCTTTGTTTTTGCACACAACGACGTCACTGCTTCGTATTCTGTTTCAAAAATCGTTTTTCATTTTATTCTCAGACTCATTTATTCATACAGGTCAATGACATTTATTTATATAGACTAAATACTTGTATAACCGTATATAGTTTTTGAAGCACAAACTGATTTATCATATGAACAAAAAACAAATGGCTGGATCGTCTTTGACGCAAAGGCAGCTTTTCCACATTTTGACCACAAATTGTCATTAGTGTGCACCGTGTTGAAAAGTTGAGTAATGAGCCATTTTACGATACCTACCCTCCGAACATCACTCTAGGAGAAATCTAAGGATCTATCTTCGACTGGGGAGCTGAATACTGAGAAACAGACATACAATAAAAAAAAATATAAAAAAAAAGTAAATTTACTGCAAGCAAACAAATGTCTCACCATGCCATAGTCAAGTTAACTTCATTTATAAATCGCGCTTTTAACAAAATAGATGTTTCAAAGCAGCTTTACAGTGATAACAGGAGATTACAGTAACAGAGATTGTTTGGCTTTACAGCAGCTCTAGAATAAAGTTATTGTCCAGATGAAGTTAGTTTTAATTGATTCACTTCCGTTGCAAAGATCATTAGTTATTAACTTGTGCTAACACAACACCGTTCTTGAAACCCTTAACACGATCCACCCGCTCATTTGCACAACATCAGTGCCTGGTGGCTTGAGGACGCAAAGCTTGAAATAAGTTCCAAGGTGCAAGCCAATCTAACCATGCAAGCTAAAGTTTTAAACCAACCAGGTCTTCTAAAGCCAAACAGAAAACCATTTGAAAAAGAAAAAAAGGCTGTAAAATGCTCTTTTAGCGATCTAAGCAATGTGGGGTAAAAAAAAAACATCCAAGCAATCCATTCAAAAACATAAAATATTGTTACACAAATCTTGACTTGCGCTAAAAGTCAACTAGAAAGGGCCAAAATAGAACCAGATCCCTCAGCGTCATCCTGGCTAAAAGTGCCCTGTAGTTAGACGGAGTAAGAATTTTCTGGAGAGAGGGAGAAAAAATACGTTGTTTTTTGCCAATTACAAAAACCACCATGTAAACATGTTAGTATAAACCCATATTACTTTTGTACAAGAGAACTTCAAATTATGAAGCACAGGTCTACAAACCTTTTTCTCCAACTACTCTCCCAACATCACTCAAGGAGAAATCTAAGGATCCATCTTCGACTGCGCAGCTGAAAGCTGAGAAACATATTTGACAATTAAAAAAATAAGAAAACAGACAAGAAACCTTATTAATAACAAACAAAAATTAAACTCACAATGCCATACTAACTGGTGATAGAGAAATACCAAAACAGCAATTTTGATCAAACCCATTCTATAACACAAACTGAGCCACTAAGACAGCCAATTCAACTGCAAAAGCTAAAGTTTTAAACCAAACATGTCTTTTAAAGCCAAACAGAAAACCATTTGTACCACCTGGATGACTCGTTAACTCATTATTGGGGCAAATCTGCTAATTAATGAGATCAATAATTAATTAATCACCCAGCATACTGGCTGATGTCATATCCCACATCAGTAAAGTTTCAATGTTTATCTCTTGTGATTCATTGACCTCCACTGAAAGAAGGCCCAACAACACACACACTTAGGCCTGGTTTCACAGACAGGGCTTAGATTAAGCAATAAGGAAATTTGATGAGCTTTTATAAACGTGCCTTACAAAAAAATATTACTGGTCTGCATCTTGAGACAAAACAAAGGCACTGGCATATTTTAATATGCGTTCAGTTAAAACAACTCAAACTTGCATTTTAGTCTGTGAAACCAGGCAATATTCTCTTATTCCACATCAACTGGTGAGAAAGCACCAAATAAAGAGAACAGAAAATTTGTCTCTTTGGGAAAAAAAGACTTTAATACCAAAAATGCATCTAAAATGATAGATTTTCTCCGGAAACAGTCTAAACCTAGACTGAAGACACATCTGCCAGACATACAGCCAACTTCTTAAAATTGCTACAGGCAACTCTATATCAGTGTAGAAGGAGGGCTCAGAAATTGACCGTTCTTATCACACAGTGAAACAACTTAACATTAATATACACATGAACCTCAGACTACTCTTGGATCATTTAATGTGTTTTTTTTTAGTCTGAAAGGTACAGTCACAAACATCCCCTTCAGCCTTGTTTCATGGATGAGAAGACAAGGGTTTAGAGTAATATCATGGGGAGTAAACTAGATTCATGTTGGGCAAACTACTCCTTCAAACTGCTTCCACAAGCAGGACTCCTTAATCATACACTCATCTATGAATATCCACAATTTTGTAAACACTTTTTCCTATCATAGTCTATCAATGTTGACTGTACTTCACAGCTGAACACTTCTTGGGCAAAACCGGACCTCAATAGACAGGCCTTCTGCAATCCACATGACAATGATGCCATCACAAACTGACCCAAATGGCTGTAAAGCCCTAGCGAATCTAAAAGAAAGGAGTTCAAACCAAACCATGAAACCCATTCCAAAAGAAATAATTTATTTTGTTACACAGAATCTTGACTCATGACAAGTTAAATAGACAGGGGCTAAAACAGAACCGGACCCCTCAGCATTATCCTAGCTGAAGGTGGTGTTAACAGAACCAGACCCCTCAGCATAATCTTGGCTGAAGGTGGCATTGACAGAACCAGACCCTTCAGCATAATCTTGGCTGAAGGTGGCGTTGACAGAACTAGACCCCTCAAGAGAGTCTTGGCTGAAGGTGGCGTTAACAGAACCAGACCCCTCAGCGTCATCCTGGCTGAAGGTGGCGTTGACAGAACCAGACCCCTCAGCGTCATCCTGGCTGAAGGTGGCGTTGACAGAACCAGACCCCTCAGCATCATCCTGGCTGAAGGTGGCGTTGACAGAACCAGACCCCTCAGCGTCATCCTGGCTGAAGGTGGCGTTGACAGAACCAGACCCCTCAGCGTCATCCTGGCTGAAGGTGGCGTTGACAGAACCAGACCCCTCAGCGTCATCCTGGCTGAAGGTGGCGTTGACAGAACCAGACCCCTCAGCGTCGTCCTGGCTGAAGGTGGCGTTGACAGAACCAGACCCCTCAGCATCGTCCTGGCTGAAGGTGGCGTTGACAGAACCAGACTTCTCAGCATCGTCCTGGCTGAAGGTGGCATTGACAGAACCAGACCCCTCAGCGTCGTCCTGGCTGAAGGTGGCATTGACAGAACCAGACCCCTCAGCGTCGTCCTGGCTGAAGGTGGCGTTGACAGAACCAGACTTCTCAGCATCGTCCTGGCTGAAGGTGGCGTTGACAGAACCAGACTTCTCAGCATCGTCCTGGCTGAAGGTGGCATTGACAGAACTAGACCCCTCAGCATCGTCCTGGCTGAAGGTGGCGTTGACAGAACCAGACCCCTCAGCGTCATCCTGGCTGAAGGTGGCGTTGACAGAACCAGACCCCTCAGCGTCGTCCTGGCTGAAGGTGGCGTTGACAGAACCAGACCCCTCAGCGTCATCCTGGCTGAAGGTGGCGTTGACAGAACTAGACCCCTCAGCATAGTCCTGGCTGAAGGTGGCGTTGACAGAACCAGACCCCTCAGCATCGTCCTGGCTGAAGGTGGCGTTGACAGAACAAGACTTCTCAGCATCGTCCTGGCTGAAGGTGGCGTTGACAGAACCAGACCCCTCAGCATCGTCCTGGCTGAAGGTGGCGTTGACAGAACCAGACCCCTCAGCATCGTCCTGGCTGAAGGTGGCGTTGACAGAACCAGACCCCTCAGGAGAGTCTTGGCTGAAGGTGGCGTTGACAGAACCAGACCCCTCAGCGTCATCCTGGCTGAAGGTGGCGTTGACAGAACCAGACCCCTCAGCGTCGTCCTGGCTGAAGGTGGCGTTGACAGAACCAGACCCCTCAGCGTCATCCTGGCTGAAGGTGGCGTTGACAGAACCAGACCCCTCAGCGTCGTCCTGGCTGAAGGTGGCGTTGACAGAACCAGACCCCTCAGCATCGTCCTGGCTGAAGGTGGCGTTGACAGAACCAGACTTCTCAGCATCGTCCTGGCTGAAGGTGGCATTGACAGAACTAGACCCCTCAGCATCGTCCTGGCTGAAGGTGGCGTTGACAGAACCAGACCCCTCAGCGTCATCCTGGCTGAAGGTGGCATTGACAGAACTAGACCCCTCAGCGTCGTCCTGGCTGAAGGTGGCGTTGACAGAACCAGACCCCTCAGCGTCATCCTGGCTGAAGGTGGCGTTGACAGAACCAGACCCCTCAGCGTCGTCCTGGCTGAAGGTGGCGTTGACAGAACCAGACCCCTCAGCATCGTCCTGGCTGAAGGTGGCGTTGACAGAACCAGACTTCTCAGCATCGTCCTGGCTGAAGGTGGCATTGACAGAACTAGACCCCTCAGCATCGTCCTGGCTGAAGGTGGCGTTGACAGAACCAGACCCCTCAGCATCGTCCTGGCTGAAGGTGGCATTGACAGAACCAGACCCCTCAGCAGCGTCCTGGCTGAAGGTGGCGTTGACAGAACCAGACACCTCAGCATCGTCCTGGCTGTAGGTGGCGTTGACAGAACCAGACCCCTCAGAATAGTCTTGGCTGAAGGTGGCATTGACAGAACTGGATCCCTCAGCGTCATCCTGGCTGAAGGTGGCATTGACAGAACCAGACCCCTCAGCGTCGTCCTGGCTGAAGGTGGCGTTGACAGAACCAGACCCCTCAGCATCATCTTGGCTGAAGGTGGTGTTGACAGAACCAGACCGCTCAGCATCGTCCTGGCTGAAGGTGGCATTGACAGAACTGGATCCCTCAGCGTCATCCTGGCTGAAGGTGGCATTGACAGAACCAGACCCCTCAGCGTCGTCCTGGCTGAAGGTGGCGTTGACAGAACCAGACCCCTCAGCATCATCTTGGCTGAAGGTGGCGTTGACAGAACCAGACCCCTCAGCATCGTCCTGGCTGAAGGTGGCGTTGACAGAACCAGACCCCTCAGCATCATCTTGGCTGAAGGTGGTGTTGACAGAACCAGACCCCTCAGTATCGTCCTGGCTGAAGGTGGCGTTGACAGAACCAGACCCCTCAGCATCATCTTGGCTGAAGGTGGCGTTGACAGAACCAGACCCCTCAGCATCGTCCTGGCTGAAGGTGGCGTTGACAGAACCAGACCCCTCAGCATCATCTTGGCTGAAGGTGGCGTTGACAGAACCAGACCCCTCAGCATCATCTTGGCTGAAGGTGGCGTTGACAGAACCAGACCCCTCAGTATCGTCCTGGCTGAAGGTGGCGTTGACAGAACCAGACCCCTCAGTATCGTCCTGGCTGAAGGTGGCGTTGACAGAACCAGACCCCTCAGCATCATCTTGGCTGAAGGTGGCGTTGACAGAACCAGACCCCTCAGTATCGTCCTGGCTGAAGGTGGCGTTGACAGAACCAGACCCCTCAGCATCATCTTGGCTGAAGGTGGCATTCACAGAACTGGATCCCTCAGCGTCATCCTGGCTAAAAGTGCCCTGCAGTTGGACAGAGTTAGAATTGTCTGGAGAGAAAGAGAAATACATTTTTTTGTTAATAGCAAAAACAACAAACATGTAAACATGGGAGTATAAACTCACTACTTTTGTACAAGAGTATGTCAAATTATGAAGCACAGGTCTACAAACCTTTTTCTCCAACTACTCTCCCAACATCACTCAAGGAGAAATCTAAGGATCCATCTTCGACTGCGCAGCTGAAAGCTGAAAAACATATTTGACATTTAAAATATAAGAAAACAGACACGAAACCTTATTAATAACAAACAAAAATTAAACTCACCATTCCATACTAACTGGTGATAAAGAACTACCAAAACAGCAATTTTGATCAAACCCATTCTATAACACAAACTGAGCCACTAAGACAGCCAATTCAACTGCAAAAGCTAAAGTTTCAAACCAAACATGTCTTTTAAAGCCAAACAGAAAACCATTTGTACCACCTGGATGACTCGTTAACTCATTATTGGGGCAAATCTGCTAATTAATGAGATCAATAATTAATTAATCACTCAGTAGCATACTAGCTGATGTCATATCCCACATAAGTAAAGTTTCAATGTTTATCTCTTGTGATTCATTGATCTCCACTGAAAGAAGGCCCAACAACACACACACTTAGGCCTGGTTTCACAGACAGGGCTTAGATGAAGCCAGGATCAGGCCTTAGTTCAATTAGGAAATTTGATGAGCTTTTATAAACGTGCCTTACAAAAAATATTACTGGTCTGGATTTTGAGACAAAACAAACGCACTGGCATATTTTAATATGCTTTCAGTTAAAACAACTCAAACTTGCATTTTAGTCTGGGACTAGGTTTAAGATTTGTCTGTGAAACCAGGCAATATTCTCTTATTCCACATCAACTGGTGAGAAAGCACCAAATAAAGAGAACAGAAAATTTGTCTCTTTGGGAAAAAAAAAGACTTTAGTACCAAAAATGCATCTAAAATGATAGATTTTCTCCAGAAACAGTCTAAACCTAGACTGAAGACACATCTGCCAGACATACAGCCAACTTCTTAAAATTGCTACAGGCAACTCTATATCAGTGTAGAAGGAGGGCTCAGAAATTGACTGTTCTTGTCACACAGTGAAACAACTTAACATTAATATACACATGAACGTCAGACTACTCTTGGATCATTTAATGTGTTTTTTTTGGGCTGTCAAATGATTAATCGTGATTAATCACATCCAAAATATAAGTTTTTGTTTACATAATATATATGGGTGCACTGTGTATAATTACTTTATATATATAAATACACACACATGCTTGTATATATTTAAGAAATATTTTCATGTATATACCGTATATAGATTTATATATAATTTATATTATGTATAAATATTTTATATATAAATTTTTTTTTCTTAAATATACATGCATGTGTGTGTAGTTATATATATACAAAATAACTATACACAGTGAACCCACATATATTATGCAAACACAAACTTTAATTTTGGGTGATTAACCATGATTAATCATTTGACAGCCCTAGTTTTTTTGAGTCTGAAAGGTACAGGCACAAACATCCCCTTCAGCCTTGTTTCATGGATGAAAAGACAAGGGTTTAGAGTAATATCATGGGGAGTAAACTAGATTCATGTTGGGCAAACTACTCCTTCAAACTGCTTCCACAAGCAGGACTCCTTAATCATACACTCATCTATGAATATCCACAATTTTGTAAACACTTTTTCCTATCATAGTCTATCAATGTTGACTGTACTTCACAGTTGAACACTTCTTGGGCAAAACCGGACCTCAATAGACAGGCCTTCTGCAATCCACATGACAATGATGCTATCACAAACTGACCCAAGTGGCTGTAAAGCCCCAGCGAATCTAAAAGAAAGGAGTTGACAAACCAAACCATGAAACCCATTCCAAAAGAAATAATTTATTTTGTTACACAGAATCTTGACAAGTTAAATAGACAGGGGCTAAAACAGAACCGGACCCCTCAGCATCATCCTAGCTGAAGGTGGTGTTAACAGAACCAGACCCCTCAGCATAGTCTTGGCTGAAGGTGGCGTTGACAGAACCAGACACCTCAGGAGAGTCTTGGCTGAAGGTGGCGTTGACAGAACCAGACCCCTCAGGAGAGTCTTGGCTGAAGGTGGCGTTGACAGAACCAGACCCCTCAGAAGAGTCTTGGCTGAAGGTGGCGTTGACAGAACCAGACCCCTCAGGAGAATCCTGGCTGAAGGTGGCGTTGACAGAACCAGACCCCTCAGCATAGTCCTGGCTGAAGGTGGCGTTGACAGAACCAGACCCCTCAGGAGAGTCTTGGCTGAAGGTGGCGTTGACAGAACCAGACACTTCAGGAGAGTCCTGGCTGAAGGTGGCGTCGACAGAACCAGACCCCTCAGAAGAGCCCTGGCTGAAGGTGGCGTTGACAGAACCAGACACCTCAGGAGAGTCTTGGCTGAAGGTGGCGTTGACAGAACCAGACCCCTCAGGAGAGTCTTGGCTGAAGGTGGCATTGACAGAACCAGACACCTCAGCATAGTCCTGGCTGAAGGTGGCGTTGACAGAACCAGACCCCTCAGGAGAGCCCTGGCTGAAGGTGGCGTTGACAGAACCAGACCCCTCAGGAGAGCCCTGGCTGAAGGTGGCGTTGACAGAACCAGACACCTCAGGAGAGTCCTGGCTGAAGGTGGCGTTGACAGAACCAGACCCCTCAGGAGAGTCTTGGCTGAAGGTGGCATTGACAGAACCAGACACCTCAGCATAGTCCTGGCTGAAGGTGGCGTTGACAGAACCAGACCCCTCAGGAGAGCCCTGGCTGAAGGTGGCGTTGACAGAACCAGACCCCTCAGGAGAGTCTTGGCTGAAGGTGGCATTGACAGAACCAGACACCTCAGCATAGTCCTGGCTGAAGGTGGCGTTGACAGAACCAGACCCCTCAGGAGAGCCCTGGCTGAAGGTGGCGTTGACAGAACCAGACCCCTCAGGAGAGTCCTGGCTGAAGGTGGCGTTGACAGAACCAGACCCCTCAGGAGAGTCCTGGCTGAAGGTGGCGTTGACAGAACCAGACCCCTCAGCATAGTCTTGGCTGAAGGTGGCGTTGACAGAACCAGACCCCTCAGGAGAATCCTGGCTGAAGGTGGCGTTGACAGAACCAGACCCCTCAGGAGAGTCTTGGCTGAAGGTGGCGTTGACAGAACCACACCCCTCAGCATCGTCCTGGCTGAAGGTGGCGTTGACAGAACCAGACCCCTCAGCATCATCTTGGCTGAAGGTGGTATTGACAGAACCAGACCCCTCAGGAGAGTCTTGGCTGAAGGTGGTGTTGACAGAACCAGACCCCTCAGCATAGTCTTGGCTGAAGGTGGTGTTGACAGAACCAGACCCCTCGGGAGAGTCCTGGCTGAAGGTGGTGTTGGCAGAACCAGACCCCTCAGCATCATCCTGGCTGAAAGTGGCGTTGACAGAACCAGACCCCTCAGCATAGTCCTGGCTGAAAGTGGCGTTGACAGAACCAGAACCCTCAGGAGAGTCCTGGCTGAAGGTGGCGTTGACAGAACCAGACCCCTCAGCATCGTCCTGGCTGAAGGTGGCATTCACAGAACTGGATCCCTCAGCGTCATCCTGGCTAAAAGTGCCCTGCAGTTGGACAGAGTTAGAATTGTCTGGAGAGAGGGAGAAAGAGAAATAAATTTGTTAATAGCAAAAACAACAAACATGTAAACATGTTAGTATAAGCTCATTACTTTTGTACAAGAGTATGTCAAATTATGAAGCACAGGTCTACAAACCTTTTTCTCCAACTACTCTTCCAACATCACTCAAGGAGAAATCCAAGGATCCATCTTCGACTGCGCAGCTGAAAGCTGAGAAACATATTTGACATTTAAAAAAAAAAAATCAGACAAGAAACCTTATTAATAACAAACAAAAAAGAAACTCACCATGCCATACTAACTGGTGATAAAGAACTACCAAAACAGCAATTTTGATCAAACCCATTCTATAACACAAACTGAGCCACTAAGACAGTCAATTCAACTGCAAAAGCTAAAGTTTCAAACCAAACATGTCTTTTAAAGCCAAACAGAAAACCATTTGTACCACCTGGATGACTCGTTAACTCATTATTGGGGCAAATCTGCTAATTAATGAGATCAATAATTAATTAATCACTCAGCAGCATACTAGCTGATGTCATATCTCACATAAGTAAAGTTTCAATGTTTATCTCTTGTGGTTCATTGATCTCCACTGAAAGAAGGCCCAACAACACACACACTTAGGCCTGGGGTGTATTCCAGAAAGCAAGGTTAACTTACCGTCAGATAAACCTTGAACTCTTGGTTGGTTAAACCCAAACTTGCTTACTCTGGGTATGTCGGTTCCAAAACACCTATGTTGAGTTAGTTTAATCAACCTCCTATTGGTAACCCAGAGTTAATGCGCGCGCACGACGAGTACATAAAGACATTTTCAATGGATCGCCGATTTCAGGAGTCACCATGGAAACCAAGGGAGAAAAAAAGCGAGCTACATACGATACTTCGGTGAAACTGAGTTGGAGGTTTTAATGCTTGCTTATGAAGACTATAGCCTAAGCCCATTATAAAAAAATAATAATAAATAAAAAAGCAATACTGCTGCATCAGCAAAAAAAAGTTGGCTTGGCAAATAATAATGGACAGAGTAAATGCTTGAGTTTAGAAAATTATAAATGGGATATTTTCCCTTTGTGAGTCACAATGAAAGGGGAAAATAGCCTAGTCCTACCCCATTTATAATTTGTGACGCAAAAATTCTTTGGGGGCATGTAGTAAAAATAGACAAGTATTTACTTGTTGGCCTCCATGCATTTCTTAATATTACAGTAGTAATGCACATAATTGGCTAGTTATATGTTGGCTTCTCGTTTTGTCAGGTGTAATCCTTCTGGAGCCAGAAGAAGTGTGAGCCAAGTCAAAATGAAACACAAAAACATTCTCCAGCAAGGTAATATTTTCTAAACTTACTAAACTTGTTACTGACATTTAATACTAATTTAGTATTAAATGTAATTTAGTTTTCTATGTAGCCAATAGAAAGAAGGGAGCTGAGGAGCTGGCACTGTCCCTTAATAAAGGGCCACCTGTGGTCGATGGGATTCCAGGGGCAGTTCGTCAGACTCCGCTACCAAGACAAGTGGCTTAGTAAAATGTAGGTGTACCATATTAATACTTATGATTTATTGATGTTTACACTGTTTTTGTCAGTGTTTTAATAAATAAAATCATCAACACTGTCACCATTTTAAAAAGGCATTTTGAATTCATTTTACAGTCATTGATTCACTTGTGCAGTATGCATGCTGCTCTGACTGCATATGCTGTATACTGTAATCTTATTACTAGTACTTAGATGCTCCTAATGTCCTTCTTTATTAGTTGTATTTGCTTAAGAATATACATTGAGAATTGAATATGCATGATTATCATGGTTTAATTATCTTGCAGTTGCTGATGGCCACATTGTATTATTGGATCCTTCTGCAACACCACACTCTGTCACAGTTGTAAGTGATTATTGTCTTTAGGTTTCTGTTTGCTAGACCAAGCATCCTTCCTTATTTTCACTGTAGGATGATGATGAAGAGACCACTTCTGCTGTGACAGAAACAGAAAATGTGGGGAGGCCCATAGAGGTATGATGCATAGAATGCATTCCCCCTTTTTTACACAAGAGAATAAATAAATTGTCATTGTCATTTTACAGAATATGGCAGGAGATTTTAATACAGATGAGGGTCCATCTACCTCCACACAGAATCTTAGCAGTGTAAGAAATGTTCTGCAGTTCTCCTTCCTCATTTAAATATTTGGTCTGTGTTTGTATTACAGACTTTTTCAGTCTTTCTAGTTGCCTGCCAAAAAGCTGTACAAGGTCCACCTTTAAAAGCAAATCAGAAAAAGTGACATGGAGATGGACCTTATACAGCTTCAAATGGAGGAGAAAAGGCTTAACCTAAAAAAGGCCAGACTAGCTTAAGGTGGGAAAAAGTATGTAAACATTAATCTGTCATTTGTTGTTGAATGAAATCTAAAGCAATAAATACAAATGTCTTTTGTTACAGGAAATAAAGAAACAATGAACAACACTTGACTGTTAACTGGTTTTAATTAAAGTGATTTTGGCAAATCTTGTCTTGTACCACCCTGCCATCTCTTTGGTCTACTGGGTTCACTGGGGGTTCCTCTTGGCCACATATTACCTAGTTAGTGGGGACCAGTGATGAGGGTGATTTAATGGTTTAAACACCCAAACATTTAGCATCCAAAAAATCTATTGTCACCTGCACATTGATGCTATGCATTGACTTCCTATTTACATAGTCTCCTTCATTGATGGAAGGAGCTTTAATGTGAATGTGGGTTCCATCAATGCACCCAATCACATTTGGGAACCTTGAAATTGAAAGTTATATAATTAGAAACATTTAAAATTATTGTGACTGTATAAAGTAGGGTTAGATTAAGTAGTGCTATATGTAATTAAAATGGTCAGGGGACGCCATGCTCTGTCACCTCTCTGAAACAAACTAACCCTGGAACATAACCTGCTCCGGAGCAGGTTAAGTTCAGAGAGTGAGTTGCTATGACTACTAACATACCCTGAAAGTTACCTCCGTTTTTGGAAGCGAAAGTTGAGGTTATCCGCTTACTTACTCTTAAACATACCCGGGTATGTCACATAACCTGCTTTCTGGAATACACCCCTGGTTTCACAGACAGGGCTTAGATTAAGCCAGGATTAGGCCTTAGTTCAATTAGGAAATTTGATGAGCTTTTATAAACGTGCCTTACAAAAAATATTACTGGTCTGCATTTTGAGACAAAACAAAGGTACTGGCATATTTTAATATGCTTTCAGTTAAAACAACTCAAACTTGCATTTTAGTCTGGGACTAGGTTTAAGATTCGTCTGTGAAACCAGGCAATACTCTATTATTCCACATCAACTGGTGAGAAAGCACCAAATAAAGAGAACAGAAAATTGGTCTCTTTGAAAAAAAAAAAAAAGACTTTAGTACCAAAAATGCATCTAAAATAATAGATTTTCTCCAGAAACAGTCTAAACCTAGACTAAAAACACATATGCCAGACATACAGCCGACTTCTTAAAATTGCTACAGGCAACTCTATATCAGTGTAGAAGGAGGGCTCAGAAATTGACTATTTTTGTCACACAGTGAAACAACTTAAAATTAATATACACATGAACCTCAGACTACTCATGGATCATTTAAGGTGTTTTTTTTTAGTCTTAAAGGTACAGGCACAAACATCCCCTTCAGACTTGTTTCATGGATGAAAAGACAAGGGTTTAGAGTAATATCATGGGGAGTAAACTAGATTCATATTGGGCAAACTTCTCCTTCAAACTGCTTCCACAAGCAGGACTCCTTAATCATTCACTCATCTATGAATATCTGCAAAATTTTGTAGACACTTTTTCCTATCATAGTCTATCAATGTTCACTGTACTTCACAGCTGAACACTTCTTGGGCAAAACCGGACCTCAATAGACAGACCTTCTGCAATCCACATGACAATGATGCCATCACAAACTAACACAAGTGGCTGTAAAACCTTAGCGAATCTAAAAGAAAGGAGTTGACAAACCAAACCATGAAACCCATTCCAAAAGAAATAATTTATTTTGTTACACAGAATCTTGACAAGTTAAATAGACAGGGGCTAAAACAGAACCGGACCCCTCAGCATCATCCTAGCTAAAGGTGGTGTTAACAAAACCAGACCCCTCAGGAGAGTCTTGGCTAAAGGTGGCGTTGACAGAACCAGACCCCTCAGCATAGTCTTGGCTAAAGGTGGCGTTGACAGAACCAGACCCCTCAGGAGAGTCTTGGCTGAAGGTGGCGTTGACAGAACCAGACCCCTCAGCATAGTCTTGGCTGAAGGTGGCGTTGACAGAACCAGACCCCTCAGGAGAGTCTTGGCTAAAGGTGGCGTTGACAGAACCAGACCCCTCAGCATAGTCTTGGCTAAAGGTGGTGTTGACAGAACCAGACCCCTCAGGAGAGTCGTGGCTGAAGGTGGCGTTGACAGAACCAGACCCCTCAGCATCATCTTGGCTGAAGGTGGCATTGACAGAACCAGACCCCTCAGCATCATCTTGGCTGAAGGTGGCATTGACAGAACCAGACCCCTCAGGAGAGTCTTGGCTGAAAGTGGGATTCACAGAACCAGACCCCTCAGCATCATCTTGGCTGAAGGTGGCGTTGACAAAACCAGACCCTTCAGCATCATCTTGGCTGAAGGTGGCATTGACAGAACCAGACCCCTGAGCATCGTCCTGGCTGAAGGTGGTGTTTACAAAACCAGACCCCTCAGAATAGTCTTGGCTGAAGGTGGCATTGACAGAACCAGACCCCTCAGCATAGTCTTGGCTGAAGGTGGCGTTGACAGAACCAGACCCCTCAGGAGAGTCTTGGCTAAAGGTGGCGTTGACAGAACCAGACCCCTCAGCATAGTCTTGGCTAAAGGTGGCGTTGACAGAACCAGACCCCTCAGCATCATCTTGGCTGAAGGTGGCATTGACAGAACCAGACCCCTCAGGAGAGTCTTGGCTAAAGGTGGCGTTGACAGAACCAGACCCCTCAGTATCATCTTGGCTGAAGGTGGCATTGACAGAACCAGACCCCTCAGCATCATCTTGGCTGAAGGTGGCATTGACAGAACCAGACCCCTCAGGAGAGTCTTGGCTGAAGGTGGCGTTGACAGAACCAGACCCCTCAGCATCATCTTGGCTGAAGGTGGCATTGACAGAACCAGACCCCTCAGCATCATCTTGGCTGAAGGTGGCATTGACAGAACCAGACCCCTCAGGAGAGTCTTGGCTGAAGGTGGCATTCACAGAACCAGACCCCTCAGCATCATCTTGGCTGAAGGTGGCGTTGACAAAACCAGACCCTTCAGCATCATCTTGGCTGAAGGTGGCATTGACAGAACCAGACCCCTGAGCATCGTCCTGGCTGAAGGTGGTGTTTACAAAACCAGACCCCTCAGCATCGTCCTGGCTGAAGGTGGCGTTGACAGAACCAGACCCCTCAGGAGAGTCTTGGCTGAAGGTGGCGTTGACAGAACCAGACCCCACAGCATCGTCCTGGCTGAAGGTGGCGTTGACAGAACCAGACCCCTCAGGAGAGTCTTGGCTGAAGGTGGCGTTGACAGAACCAGACCCCTCAGGAGAGTCTTGGCTGAAGGTGGAGTTGACAGAACCAGACGCCTCAGCATCATCCTGGCTGAAGGTGGCGTTGACAGAACCAGACCCCTCAGCATAGTCTTGGCTGAAGGTGGCGTTGACAGACCCAGACCCCTCAGGAGAATCCTGGCTGAAGGTGGCATTGACAGAACCAGACCCCTCAGCATAGTCTTGGCTGAAGGTGGCGTTGACAGAACCAGACCCCTCAGCATAGTCCTGGCTGAAGGTGGCGTTGACAGAACCAGACCCCTCAGCATCGTCCTGGCTGAAGGTGGCGTTGACAGAACCAGACCCCTCAGCATAGTCCTGGCTGAAGGTGGCGTTGACAGAACCAGACCCCTCAGCATCATCTTGGCTGAAGGTGGCATTGACAGAACCAGACCCCTGAGCATCGTCCTGGCTGAAGGTGGCGTTGACAGAACCAGACCCCTCAGGAGAGTCTTGGCTGAAGGTGGCGTTGACAGAACCAGACCCCTCAGCATAGTCTTGGCTGAAGGTGGCGTTGACAGAACCAGACCCCTCAGCATCATCTTGGCTGAAGGTGGCATTGACAGAACCAGACCCCTGAGCATCGTCCTGGCTGAAGGTGGCGTTGACAGAACCAGACCCCTCAGGAGAGTCTTGGCTGAAGGTGGCGTTGACAGAACCAGACCCCTCAGCATAGTCTTGGCTAAAGGTGGCATTGACAGAACCAGACCCCTCAGGAGAGTCTTGGCTGAAGGTGGCGTTGACAGAACCAGACCCCTCAGCATCATCTTGGCTGAAGGTGCCATTGACAGAACCAGACCCCTCAGCATCATCTTGGCTGAAGGTGGCATTGACAGAACCAGACCCCTCAGGAGAGTCTTGGCTGAAGGTGGCATTCACAGAACCAGACCCCTCAGCATAGTCTTGGCTGAAGGTGGCGTTGACAGAACCAGACCCCTCAGCATAGTCTCGGCTGAAGGTGGCTTTGACAGAACCAGACCCCTCAGCATCATCTTGGCTGAAGGTGGCATTGACAGAACCAGACCCCTGAGCATCGTCCTGGCTGAAGGTGGTGTTTACAAAACCAGACCCCTCAGAATAGTCTTGGCTGAAGGTGGCATTGACAGAACCAGACCCCTCAGCATCGTCCTGGCTGAAGGTGGCGTTGACAGAACCAGACCCCTCAGGAGAGTCTTGGCTGAAGGTGGCGTTGACAGAACCAGACCCCTCAGCATCGTCCTGGCTGAAGGTGGCGTTTACAGAACCAGACCCCTCAGCATCGTCCTGGCTGAAGGTGGCGTTGACAGAACCAGACCCCTCAGGAGAGTCTTGGCTGAAGGTGGCATTCACAGAACTGGATCCCTCAGCGTCATCCTGGCTAAAAGTGCCCTGCAGTTGGACAGAGTTAGAATTGTCTGGAGAGAGGGAGAAAGAGAAATAATTTTTTTGTTAATAGCAAAAACAACAAACATGTAAACATGTTAGTATAAGCTCATTACTTTTGTACAAGAGTATGTCAAATTATGAAGCACAGGTCTACAAACCTTTTTCCCCAACATCACTCAAGAAGAAATCTAAGGATCCATCTTCGACTGCGCAGCTGAAAGCTGAGAAACATATTTGACATTTAAAAAAAAAAAAAAATCAGACAAGAAACATTATTAATAACAAACAAAAAAGAAACTCACCATTCCATACTAACTGGTGATAAAGAACTACCAAAACAGCAGTTCTGATCAAACCCATTCTATAACACAAACTGAGCCACTAAGACAGCCAATTCAACTGCAAAAGCTAAAGTTTCAAACCAAACATGTCTTTTAAAGCCAAACAGAAAACCATTTGTACCACCTGGATGACTCGTTAACTCATTATTGGGGCAAATCTGCTAATTAATGAGATCAATAATTAATTATTCACTCAGTAGCATACTAGCTGATGTCATATCCCACATCAGTAAAGTTTCAATGTTTATCTCTTGTGATTCATTGATCTCCACTGAAAGAAGGCCCAACAACACACACACTTAGGCCTGGTTTCACAGACAGGGCTTAGATTAAGCCAGGATTAGGCCTTAGTTCAATTAGGAAATTTGATGAGCTTTTATAAACGTGCCTTACAAAAAATATTACTGGTCTGCATTTTGAGACAAAACAAAGGTACTGGCATATTTTAATATGCTTTCAGTTAAAACAACTCAAACTTGCATTTTAGTCTGGGACTAGGTTTAAGATTTGTCTGTGAAACCAGGCAATACTCTATTATTCCACATCAACTGGTGAAAAAGCACCAAATAAAGAGAACAGAAAATTGGTCTCTTTGGGAAATAAAAAGACTTTAGTACCAAAAATGCATCTAAAATAATAGATTTTCTCCAGAAACAGTCTAAACCTAGACTGAAAACACATATGCCAGACATACAGCCGACTTCTTAAAATTGCTACAGGCAACTCTATATCAGTGTAGAAGGAGGGCTCAGAAATTGACTATTTTTGTCACACAGTGAAACAACTTAAAATTAATATACACATGAACCTCAGACTACTCATGGATCATTTAAGGTGTTTTTTTTTAGTCTTAAAGGTACAGGCACAAACATCCCCTTCAGACCTGTTTCATGGATGAAAAGACAAGGGTTTAGAGTAATATCATGGGGAGTAAACTAGATTCATATTGCGCAAACTTCTCCTTCAAACTGCTTCCACAAGCAGGACTCCTTAATCATTCACTCATCTATGAATATCTGCAAAATTTTGTAGACACTTTTTCCTATCATAGTCTATCAATGTTCACTGTACTTCACAGCTGAACACTTCTTGGGCAAAACCGGACCTCAATAGACAGACCTTCTGCAATCCACTTGACAATGATGCCATCACAAACTAACCCAAGTGGCTGTAAAACCCTAGCGAATCTAAAAGAAAGGAGTTGACAAACCAAACCATGAAACCCATTCCAAAAGAAATAATTTATTTTGTTACACAGAATCTTGACAAGTTAAATAGACAGGGGCTAAAACAGAACCGGACCCCTCAGCATCATCCTAGCTAAAGGTGGTGTTAACAGAACCAGACCCCTCAGGAGAGTCTTGGCTAAAGGTGGCGTTGACAGAACCAGACCCCTCAGCATAGTCTTGGCTAAAGGTGGCGTTGACAGAACCAGACCCCTCAGGAGAGTCTTGGCTGAAGGTGGCGTTGACAGAAACAGACCCCTCAGGAGAGTCCTGGCTGAAGGTGGCGTTGACAGAACCAGACCCCTCAGCATAGTCTTGGCTGAAGGTGGCGTTGACAGAACCAGACCCCTCAGGAGAGTCTTGGCTAAAGGTGGCGTTGACAGAACCAGACCCCTCAGCATAGTCTTGGCTAAAGGTGGCATTGACAGAACCAGACCCCTCAGCATCATCTTGGCTGAAGGTGGCATTGACAGAACCAGACCCCTCAGGAGAGGCTTGGCTAAAGGTGGCGTTGACAGAACCAGACCCCTCAGGAGAGTCTTGGCTGAAGGTGGCGTTGACAGAACCAGACCCCTCAGTATCATCTTGGCTGAAGGTGGCATTGACAGAACCAGACCCCTCAGCATCATCTTGGCTGAAGGTGGCATTGACAGAACCAGACCCCTCAGGAGAGTCCTGGCTGAAGGTGGCGTTGACAAAACCAGACCCCTCAGCATAGTCTTGGCTGAAGGTGGCGTTGACAGAACCAGACCCCTCAGGAGAGTCTTGGCTAAAGGTGGCGTTGACAGAACCAGACCCCTCAGCATAGTCTTGGCTAAAGGTGGCGTTGACAGAACCAGACCCCTCAGCATCATCTTGGCTGAAGGTGGCATTGACAGAACCAGACCCCTCAGGAGAGTCTTGGCTAAAGGTGGCGTTGACAGAACCAGACCCCTCAGGAGAGTCTTGGCTGAAGGTGGCGTTGACAGAACCAGACCCCTCAGTATCATCTTGGCTGAAGGTGGCATTGACAGAACCAGACCCCTCAGCATCATCTTGGCTGAAGGTGGCATTGACAGAACCAGACCCCTCAGGAGAGTCTTGGCTGAAGGTGGCATTCACAGAACCAGACCCTTCAGCATCATCTTGGCTGAAGGTGGCATTGACAGAACCAGACCCCTCAGAATAGTCTTGGCTGAAGGTGGCATTGACAGAACCAGACCCCTCAGCATCGTCCTGGCTGAAGGTGACGTTGACAGAACCAGACCCCTCAGGAGAGTCTTGGCTGAAGGTGGCGTTGACAGAACCAGACCCCTCAGCATCGTCCTGGCTGAAGGTGGCATTGACAGAACCAGACCCCTTAGCATCATCTTGGCTGAAGGTGGCATTGACAGAACCAGACCCCTCAGGAGAGTCTTGGCTGAAGGTGGCATTCACAGAACCAGACCCTTCAGCATCATCTTGGCTGAAGGTGGTGTTTACAAAACCAGACCCCTCAGAATAGTCTTGGCTGAAGGTGGCATTGACAGAACCAGACCCCTCAGCATCGTCCTGGCTGAAGGTGGCGTTGACAGAACCAGACCCCTCAGGAGAGTCTTGGCTGAAGGTGGCGTTGACAGAACCAGACCCCTCAGCATCATCCTGGCTGAAGGTGGCGTTGACAGAACCAGACCCCTCAGCATAGTCCTGGCTGAAGGTGGCGTTGACAGAACCAGACCCCTCAGCATAGTCTTGGCTGAAGGTGGCGTTGACAGACCCAGACCCCTCAGGAGAATCCTGGCTGAAGGTGGCATTGACAGAACCAGGCCCCTCAGCATCATCTTGGCTGAAGGTGGCATTGACAGAACCAGACCCCTCAGGAGAGTCTTGGCTGAAGGTGGCATTCACAGAACCAGACCCCTCAGCATAGTCTTGGCTGAAGGTGGCGTTGACAGAACCAGACCCCTCAGCATAGTCTCGGCTGAAGGTGGCTTTGACAGAACCAGACCCGTCAGCATCATCTTGGCTGAAGGTGGCATTGACAGAACCAGACCCCTGAGCATCGCCCTGGCTGAAGGTGGTGTTTACAAAACCAGACCCCTCAGAATAGTCTTGGCTGAAGGTGGCATTGACAGAACCAGACCCCTCAGCATCGTCCTGGCTGAAGGTGGCGTTGACAGAACCAGACCCCTCAGGAGAGTCTTGGCTGAAGGTGGCGTTGACAGAACCAGACCCCTCAGCATCGTCCTGGTTGAAGGTGGCGTTTACAGAACCAGACCCCTCAGCATCGTCCTGGCTGAAGGTGGCGTTGACAGAACCAGACCCCTCAGGAGAGTCTTGGCTGAAGGTGGCATTCACAGAACTGGATCCCTCAGCGTCATCCTGGCTAAAAGTGCCCTGCAGTTGGACAGAGTTAGAATTGTCTGGAGAGAGGGAGAAAGAGAAATAATTTTTTTGTTAATAGCAAAAACAACAAACATGTAAACATGTTAGTATAAGCTCATTACTTTTGTACAAGAGTATGTCAAATTATGAAGCACAGGTCTACAAACCTTTTTCCCCAACATCACTCAAGAAGAAATCTAAGGATCCATCTTCGACTGCGCAGCTGAAAGCTGAGAAACATATTTGACATTTAAAAAAAAAAAAAATCAGACAAGAAACATTATTAATAACAAACAAAAAAGAAACTCACCATGCCATACTAACTGGTGATAAAGAACTACCAAAACAGCAGTTCTGATCAAACCCATTCTATAACACAAACTGAGCCACAAAGACAGCCAATTCAACTGCAAAAGCTAAAGTTTCAAACCAAACATGTCTTTTAAAGCCAAACAGAAAACCATTTGTACCACCTGGATGACTCGTTAACTCATTATTGGGGCAAATCTGCTAATTAATGAGATCAATAATTAATTATTCACTCAGTAGCATACTAGCTGATGTCATATCCCACATCAGTAAAGTTTCAATGTTTATCTCTTGTGATTCATTGATCTCCACTGAAAGAAGGCCCAACAACACACACACTTAAACCTGGGGTGTATTCCAGAAAGCAAGGTTAACTTACCGTCAGATAAACCTTGAACTCTTGGTTGGTTAACCCCAAACTTGCTTACTCTGGGTATGTCGGTTCCAAAACACCTATGTTGAGTTAGTTTAATCAACCTCCTATTGGTAACCCAGAGTTAATGCGCGCGCACGACGAGGACATAAAGACATTTTCAATGGATCGCCGATTTCAGGAGTCACCATGGAAACCAAGGGAGAAAAAAAGCGAGCTACATACGATACTTCGGTGAAACTGAGTTGGAGGTTTTAATGCTTGCTTATGAAGACTATAGCCTAAGCCCATTATAAAAAAAAAAAAAAAAAAAAAAAAACAATACTGCTGCATCAGCAAAAGAAAGTTGGCTTGGCAAATAATAATGGACAGAGTAAATGCTTGAGTTTAGAAAATTATAAATGGAGTATTTTCCCTTTGTGAGTCACAATGAAAGGGGAAAATAGCCTACCCCATTTATAATTTGTGACGCAAAAATTCTTTGGGGGCATGTAGTAAAAATAGACAAGTATTTACTTGTTGGCCTCCATACATTTCTTAATATTACAGTAGTAATGCACATAATTGGCTAGTTATATGTTGGCTTCTCGTTTTATCAGGTGTAATCCTTCTGGAGCCAGAAGAAGTGTGAGCCAAGTCAAAATGAAACACAAAAACATTCTCCAGCAAGGTAATATTTTCTAAACTTACTAAACTTGTTACTGACATTTAATACTAATTTAGTATTAAATGTAATTTAGTTTTCTATGTAGCCAATAGAAAGAAGGGAGCTGAGGAGCTGGCACTGTCCCTTAATAAAGGGCCACCTGTGGTCGATGGGATTCCAGGGGCAGTTCGTCAGACTCCGCTACCAAGACAAGTGGCTTAGTAAAATGTAGGTGTACCATATTAATACTTATGATTTATTGATGTTTACACTGTTTTTGTCAGTGTTTTAATAAATAAAATCAACACTGTCACCATTTTAAAAAGGCATTTTGAATTCATTTTACAGTCATTGATTCACTTGTGCAGTATGCATGCTGCTCTGACTGCATATGCTGTATACTGTAATCTTATTACTAGTACTTAGATGCTCCTAATGTCCTTCTTTATTAGTTGTATTTGCTTAAGAATATACATTGAGAATTGAATATGCATGATTATCATGGTTTAATTATCTTGCAGTTGCTGATGGCCACATTGTATTATTGGATCCTTCTGCAACACCACACTCTGTCACAGTTGTAAGTGATTATTGTCTTTAGGTTTCTGTTTGCTAGACCAAGCATCCTTCCTTATTTTCACTGTAGGATGATGATGAAGAGACCACTTCTGCTGTGACAGAAACAGAAAATGTGGGGAGGCCCATAGAGGTATGATGCATAGAATGCATTCCCCCTTTTTTACACAAGAGAATAAATAGTCATTGTCATTTTAATACAGATGAGGGTCCATCTACCTCCACACAGAATCTTAGCAGTGTAAGAAATGTTCTGCAGTTCTCCTTCCTCATTTAAATATTTGGTCTGTGTTTGTATTACAGACTTTTTCAGTCTTTCTAGTTGCCTGCCAAAAAGCTGTACAAGGTCCACCTTTAAAAGCAAATCAGAAAAAGTGACATGGAGATGGACCTTATACAGCTTCAAATGGAGGAGAAAAGGCTTAACCTAAAAAAGGCCAGACTTGAAATTGAATTGCTGGAGCACTAGCTTAAGGTGGGAAAAAGTATGTAAACATTAATCTGTCATTTGTTGTTGAATGAAATCTAAAGCAATAAATACAAATGTCTTTTGTTACAGGAAATAAAGAAACAATGAACACTTGACTGTTAACTGGTTTTAATTAAAGTGATTTTGGCAAATCTTGTGTCACAGGTCGGGGGGGCCAAGCCAGACTGCGCCCACCCCTCAAAACCCAGGACCACCTCGAGGAGCGTACCAGAGACCAGACAGACAAGGAGATTTTCTAAAAGTAACCATCTTTATTTAAATAAAAGCAGGAATTAAAAGTCTTAATATGGGCTTCGTCTCTCTTTCCAGGGAGGAGGAGACCGAGGGGTGCGCTGCGAGGGCCCGGACTACTGGCAGCCACAGAGGAGGAGGGAGCCGAACGCCCGTCTGGCGTGCAGGTAAGTAACGTGGTAAGAAGGCCCTTTTCGGCGAATTACAGGCGGACAACGGTCTGGGCAGACCAGGGCCGGGACCACGGGCCAGGCGAGGACTCTCTCCACAGGACAGGTGGGTAGCAGGTAAGTTCTCAAGCGTCAGCTATTCGACAGGTGCGAGGTCCTCCGGGGGCCTTTCCGCCCTTGACGACCCCAGCCAGAGACAAGGGTACCCTGTATGATCCAGGACAGAGACAAGTGTGCAGGTTTAATTCTATTTCAGTGAAGGGTGGACTTACGGCTGGAGCGGGTGGTTCGGGACAAGCAGCGCTGCTGCTGGGGTGTGTCTCTCCTCTGAACAGGCAGCACACAAGAAGGCCGAGGCAGAAGAATCTTCTGTCTAGATAGGCAAAGCCTTGGATACAAGAACGAACAGGATCCTTTCATATAGTGGGGAATCAGGCTTACGGCTGGGCTGGGTGGTTCCCACGGTAACGCGAAGGCTGGGGCGTGTCTTTCCTCCAAACAGGTAGCACAAGCAGGCGGTGGCAGAGGAACGTTCTATTTAAATCGACAGAACAAGTTAAACAAGGCAATCACCCTCCTCTCCCATATCACAGGACCTGGTGGCAAAAGTGGAACATACACGTTCAGCCTGAGGGCTTCGTTCCGCAAACACTGGCGAGAATGTGAACTGGAGAACACTGGCGGTTAAATAAACATGTATATCCACACACTGCAACTTCACGTCAAGTCCAATACTGTGTGACACTTCAATTCAGGTACCGCAATCCACTCTCCAATCTTAGTGCAATAAGGCCAGCACTCACCCAATGTTCAATCCCTCCACTGTTGCGCTGATTCGCCACTCAGAAGCTGGTGAGATGCAGAGGATTTCGCACCGCATGGAACACAGCGTCTTCAACACTCTTTCATACTCAGAAGATATCAGGGGTTCAAAGATGAATCAGTTCACACTCTTAGTGGTAATTATATTTGTGGTCAATACACTTGACAATTCCTTATCCAATTCAGTGCAAGACATGCATTCACACGGATCCGGTGTTTCATTACTTATCTTTCTCCCTCGAGTGATGACATTCTCCAATCTTGACTCAATCTCCACAATTCGCTCACTTCACATCCAATTCACGTTCCAGCTTGCACTCCCTCAATCACCGTTGCACCCCTTTCCAGTCAGATCCTCACAGCCGCTCCAAAGATCCCAGCAAACCCCAGCCACAGCCAAAGGAATCGATCTCTCCCGAGGGAGTACCACACTCGAATGCCTTTTCCTTTTCTTTTTAACTGCTTCTCTGGGCCGTGTTTCCCAATCACAGATCCCCACACCAAACACTCGCACCTGGTACCGCTTAGCTAATCAGCTGCCGCTGTCATGGCAACTGACAACAGCAAACCAGCACGGTGTGCCGGTGAAATCGTCCCGGGTGAAACACACTCCTAGCGGAAATTAGTTCCGCTAGATTTGTCACCTTGTGACACTTGTCTTGTACCACCCTGCCATCTCTTTGGTCTACTGGGTTCACTGGGGGTTCCTCTTGGCCACATATTACCTAGTTAGTGGGGACCAGTGATGAGGGTGATTTAATGGTTTAAACACCCAAACATTTAGCATCCAAAAAATCTATTGTCACCTGCACATTGATGCTATGCATTGACTTCCTATTTACATAGTCTCCTTCATTGATGGAAGGAGCTTTAATGTGAATGTGGGTTCCATCAATGCACCCAATCACATTTGGGAACCCTGAAATTGAAAGTTATATAATTAGAAACATTTAAAATTATTGTGACTGTATAAAGTAGGGTTAGATTAAGTAGTGCTATATGTAATTAAAATGGTCAGGGGACGCCATGCTCTGTCACCTCTCTGAAACAAACTAACCCTGGAACATAACCTGCTCCGGAGCAGGTTAAGTTCAGAGAGTGAGTTGCTATGACTACTATAATACCCTGAAAGTTACCTCCGTTTTTGGAAGCGAAAGTTGAGGTTATCCGCTTACTTACTCTTAAACATACCCGGGTATGTCACATAACCTGCTTTCTGGAATACACCCCTGGTTTCACAGACAGGGCTTAGATTAAGCCAGGATTAGGCCTTAGTTCAATTAGGAAATTTGATGAGCTTTTATAAACGTGCCTTACAAAAAATATTACTGGTCTGCATTTTGAGACAAAACAAAGGTACTGGCATATTTTAATATGCTTTCAGTTAAAACAACTCAAACTTGCATTTTAGTCTGGGACTAGGTTTAAGATTCGTCTGTGAAACCAGGCAATACTCTATTATTCCACATCAACTGGTGAGAAAGCACCAAATAAAGAGAACAGAAAATTGGTCTCTTTGAAAAAAAAAAAAAAGACTTTAGTACCAAAAATGCATCTAAAATAATAGATTTTCTCCAGAAACAGTCTAAACCTAGACTGAAAACACATATGCCAGACATACAGCCGACTTCTTAAAATTGCTACAGGCAACTCTATATCAGTGTAGAAGGAGGGCTCAGAAATTGACTATTTTTGTCACACAGTGAAACAACTTAAAATTAATATACACATGAACCTCAGACTACTCATGGATCATTTAAGGTGTTTTTTTTTAGTCTTAAAGGTACAGGCACAAACATCCCCTTCAGACTTGTTTCATGGATGAAAAGACAAGGGTTTAGAGTAATATCATGGGGAGTAAACTAGATTCATATTGGGCAAACTTCTCCTTCAAACTGCTTCCACAAGCAGGACTCCTTAATCATTCACTCATCTATGAATATCTGCAAAATTTTGTAGACACTTTTTCCTATCATAGTCTATCAATGTTCACTGTACTTCACAGCTGAACACTTCTTGGGCAAAACCGGACCTCAATAGACAGACCTTCTGCAATCCACATGACAATGATGCCATCACAAACTAACACAAGTGGCTGTAAAACCTTAGCGAATCTAAAAGAAAGGAGTTGACAAACCAAACCATGAAACCCATTCCAAAAGAAATAATTTATTTTGTTACACAGAATCTTGACAAGTTAAATAGACAGGGGCTAAAACAGAACCGGACCCCTCAGCATCATCCTAGCTAAAGGTGGTGTTAACAAAACCAGACCCCTCAGGAGAGTCTTGGCTAAAGGTGGCGTTGACAGAACCAGACCCCTCAGCATAGTCTTGGCTAAAGGTGGCGTTGACAGAACCAGACCCCTCAGGAGAGTCTTGGCTGAAGGTGGCGTTGACAGAACCAGACCCCTCAGCATAGTCTTGGCTGAAGGTGGCGTTGACAGAACCAGACCCCTCAGGAGAGTCTTGGCTAAAGGTGGCGTTGACAGAACCAGACCCCTCAGCATAGTCTTGGCTAAAGGTGGTGTTGACAGAACCAGACCCCTCAGGAGAGTCGTGGCTGAAGGTGGCGTTGACAGAACCAGACCCCTCAGCATCATCTTGGCTGAAGGTGGCATTGACAGAACCAGACCCCTCAGCATCATCTTGGCTGAAGGTGGCATTGACAGAACCAGACCCCTCAGGAGAGTCTTGGCTGAAAGTGGGATTCACAGAACCAGACCCCTCAGCATCATCTTGGCTGAAGGTGGCGTTGACAAAACCAGACCCTTCAGCATCATCTTGGCTGAAGGTGGCATTGACAGAACCAGACCCCTGAGCATCGTCCTGGCTGAAGGTGGTGTTTACAAAACCAGACCCCTCAGAATAGTCTTGGCTGAAGGTGGCATTGACAGAACCAGACCCCTCAGCATAGTCTTGGCTGAAGGTGGCGTTGACAGAACCAGACCCCTCAGGAGAGTCTTGGCTAAAGGTGGCGTTGACAGAACCAGACCCCTCAGCATAGTCTTGGCTAAAGGTGGCGTTGACAGAACCAGACCCCTCAGCATCATCTTGGCTGAAGGTGGCATTGACAGAACCAGACCCCTCAGGAGAGTCTTGGCTAAAGGTGGCGTTGACAGAACCAGACCCCTCAGTATCATCTTGGCTGAAGGTGGCATTGACAGAACCAGACCCCTCAGCATCATCTTGGCTGAAGGTGGCATTGACAGAACCAGACCCCTCAGGAGAGTCTTGGCTGAAGGTGGCGTTGACAGAACCAGACCCCTCAGCATCATCTTGGCTGAAGGTGGCATTGACAGAACCAGACCCCTCAGCATCATCTTGGCTGAAGGTGGCATTGACAGAACCAGACCCCTCAGGAGAGTCTTGGCTGAAGGTGGCATTCACAGAACCAGACCCCTCAGCATCATCTTGGCTGAAGGTGGCGTTGACAAAACCAGACCCTTCAGCATCATCTTGGCTGAAGGTGGCATTGACAGAACCAGACCCCTGAGCATCGTCCTGGCTGAAGGTGGTGTTTACAAAACCAGACCCCTCAGCATCGTCCTGGCTGAAGGTGGCGTTGACAGAACCAGACCCCTCAGGAGAGTCTTGGCTGAAGGTGGCGTTGACAGAACCAGACCCCACAGCATCGTCCTGGCTGAAGGTGGCGTTGACAGAACCAGACCCCTCAGGAGAGTCTTGGCTGAAGGTGGCGTTGACAGAACCAGACCCCTCAGGAGAGTCTTGGCTGAAGGTGGAGTTGACAGAACCAGACGCCTCAGCATCATCCTGGCTGAAGGTGGCGTTGACAGAACCAGACCCCTCAGCATAGTCTTGGCTGAAGGTGGCGTTGACAGACCCAGACCCCTCAGGAGAATCCTGGCTGAAGGTGGCATTGACAGAACCAGACCCCTCAGCATAGTCTTGGCTGAAGGTGGCGTTGACAGAACCAGACCCCTCAGCATAGTCCTGGCTGAAGGTGGCGTTGACAGAACCAGACCCCTCAGCATCGTCCTGGCTGAAGGTGGCGTTGACAGAACCAGACCCCTCAGCATAGTCCTGGCTGAAGGTGGCGTTGACAGAACCAGACCCCTCAGCATCATCTTGGCTGAAGGTGGCATTGACAGAACCAGACCCCTGAGCATCGTCCTGGCTGAAGGTGGCGTTGACAGAACCAGACCCCTCAGGAGAGTCTTGGCTGAAGGTGGCGTTGACAGAACCAGACCCCTCAGCATAGTCTTGGCTGAAGGTGGCGTTGACAGAACCAGACCCCTCAGCATCATCTTGGCTGAAGGTGGCATTGACAGAACCAGACCCCTGAGCATCGTCCTGGCTGAAGGTGGCGTTGACAGAACCAGACCCCTCAGGAGAGTCTTGGCTGAAGGTGGCGTTGACAGAACCAGACCCCTCAGCATAGTCTTGGCTAAAGGTGGCATTGACAGAACCAGACCCCTCAGGAGAGTCTTGGCTGAAGGTGGCGTTGACAGAACCAGACCCCTCAGCATCATCTTGGCTGAAGGTGCCATTGACAGAACCAGACCCCTCAGCATCATCTTGGCTGAAGGTGGCATTGACAGAACCAGACCCCTCAGGAGAGTCTTGGCTGAAGGTGGCATTCACAGAACCAGACCCCTCAGCATAGTCTTGGCTGAAGGTGGCGTTGACAGAACCAGACCCCTCAGCATAGTCTCGGCTGAAGGTGGCTTTGACAGAACCAGACCCCTCAGCATCATCTTGGCTGAAGGTGGCATTGACAGAACCAGACCCCTGAGCATCGTCCTGGCTGAAGGTGGTGTTTACAAAACCAGACCCCTCAGAATAGTCTTGGCTGAAGGTGGCATTGACAGAACCAGACCCCTCAGCATCGTCCTGGCTGAAGGTGGCGTTGACAGAACCAGACCCCTCAGGAGAGTCTTGGCTGAAGGTGGCGTTGACAGAACCAGACCCCTCAGCATCGTCCTGGCTGAAGGTGGCGTTTACAGAACCAGACCCCTCAGCATCGTCCTGGCTGAAGGTGGCGTTGACAGAACCAGACCCCTCAGGAGAGTCTTGGCTGAAGGTGGCATTGACAGAACTGGATCCCTCAGCGTCATCCTGGCTAAAAGTGCCCTGCAGTTGGACAGAGTTAGAATTGTCTGGAGAGAGGGAGAAAGAGAAATAATTTTTTTGTTAATAGCAAAAACAACAAACATGTAAACATGTTAGTATAAGCTCATTACTTTTGTACAAGAGTATGTCAAATTATGAAGCACAGGTCTACAAACCTTTTTCCCCAACATCACTCAAGAAGAAATCTAAGGATCCATCTTCGACTGCGCAGCTGAAAGCTGAGAAACATATTTGACATTTAAAAAAAAAAAAAAATCAGACAAGAAACATTATTAATAACAAACAAAAAAGAAACTCACCATTCCATACTAACTGGTGATAAAGAACTACCAAAACAGCAGTTCTGATCAAACCCATTCTATAACACAAACTGAGCCACTAAGACAGCCAATTCAAGTGCAAAAGCTAAAGTTTCAAACCAAACATGTCTTTTAAAGCCAAACAGAAAACCATTTGTACCACCTGGATGACTCGTTAACTCATTATTGGGGCAAATCTGCTAATTAATGAGATCAATAATTAATTATTCACTCAGTAGCATACTAGCTGATGTCATATCCCACATCAGTAAAGTTTCAATGTTTATCTCTTGTGATTCATTGATCTCCACTGAAAGAAGGCCCAACAACACACACACTTAGGCCTGGTTTCACAGACAGGGCTTAGATTAAGCCAGGATTAGGCCTTAGTTCAATTAGGAAATTTGATGAGCTTTTATAAACGTGCCTTACAAAAAATATTACTGGTCTGCATTTTGAGACAAAACAAAGGTACTGGCATATTTTAATATGCTTTCAGTTAAAACAACTCAAACTTGCATTTTAGTCTGGGACTAGGTTTAAGATTTGTCTGTGAAACCAGGCAATACTCTATTATTCCACATCAACTGGTGAAAAAGCACCAAATAAAGAGAACAGAAAATTGGTCTCTTTGGGAAATAAAAAGACTTTAGTACCAAAAATGCATCTAAAATAATAGATTTTCTCCAGAAACAGTCTAAACCTAGACTGAAAACACATATGCCAGACATACAGCCGACTTCTTAAAATTGCTACAGGCAACTCTATATCAGTGTAGAAGGAGGGCTCAGAAATTGACTATTTTTGTCACACAGTGAAACAACTTAAAATTAATATACACATGAACCTCAGACTACTCATGGATCATTTAAGGTGTTTTTTTTTAGTCTTAAAGGTACAGGCACAAACATCCCCTTCAGACCTGTTTCATGGATGAAAAGACAAGGGTTTAGAGTAATATCATGGGGAGTAAACTAGATTCATATTGCGCAAACTTCTCCTTCAAACTGCTTCCACAAGCAGGACTCCTTAATCATTCACTCATCTATGAATATCTGCAAAATTTTGTAGACACTTTTTCCTATCATAGTCTATCAATGTTCACTGTACTTCACAGCTGAACACTTCTTGGGCAAAACCGGACCTCAATAGACAGACCTTCTGCAATCCACTTGACAATGATGCCATCACAAACTAACCCAAGTGGCTGTAAAACCCTAGCGAATCTAAAAGAAAGGAGTTGACAAACCAAACCATGAAACCCATTCCAAAAGAAATAATTTATTTTGTTACACAGAATCTTGACAAGTTAAATAGACAGGGGCTAAAACAGAACCGGACCCCTCAGCATCATCCTAGCTAAAGGTGGTGTTAACAGAACCAGACCCCTCAGGAGAGTCTTGGCTAAAGGTGGCGTTGACAGAACCAGACCCCTCAGGAGAGTCTTGGCTGAAGGTGGCGTTGACAGAAACAGACCCCTCAGGAGAGTCCTGGCTGAAGGTGGCGTTGACAGAACCAGACCCCTCAGCATAGTCTTGGCTGAAGGTGGCGTTGACAGAACCAGACCCCTCAGGAGAGTCTTGGCTAAAGGTGGCGTTGACAGAACCAGACCCCTCAGCATAGTCTTGGCTAAAGGTGGCATTGACAGAACCAGACCCCTCAGCATCATCTTGGCTGAAGGTGGCATTGACAGAACCAGACCCCTCAGGAGAGGCTTGGCTAAAGGTGGCGTTGACAGAACCAGACCCCTCAGGAGAGTCTTGGCTGAAGGTGGCGTTGACAGAACCAGACCCCTCAGTATCATCTTGGCTGAAGGTGGCATTGACAGAACCAGACCCCTCAGCATCATCTTGGCTGAAGGTGGCATTGACAGAACCAGACCCCTCAGGAGAGTCCTGGCTGAAGGTGGCGTTGACAAAACCAGACCCCTCAGCATAGTCTTGGCTGAAGGTGGCGTTGACAGAACCAGACCCCTCAGGAGAGTCTTGGCTAAAGGTGGCGTTGACAGAACCAGACCCCTCAGCATAGTCTTGGCTAAAGGTGGCGTTGACAGAACCAGACCCCTCAGCATCATCTTGGCTGAAGGTGGCATTGACAGAACCAGACCCCTCAGGAGAGTCTTGGCTAAAGGTGGCGTTGACAGAACCAGACCCCTCAGGAGAGTCTTGGCTGAAGGTGGCGTTGACAGAACCAGACCCCTCAGTATCATCTTGGCTGAAGGTGGCATTGACAGAACCAGACCCCTCAGCATCATCTTGGCTGAAGGTGGCATTGACAGAACCAGACCCCTCAGGAGAGTCTTGGCTGAAGGTGGCATTCACAGAACCAGACCCTTCAGCATCATCTTGGCTGAAGGTGGCATTGACAGAACCAGACCCCTCAGAATAGTCTTGGCTGAAGGTGGCATTGACAGAACCAGACCCCTCAGCATCGTCCTGGCTGAAGGTGACGTTGACAGAACCAGACCCCTCAGGAGAGTCTTGGCTGAAGGTGGCGTTGACAGAACCAGACCCCTCAGCATCGTCCTGGCTGAAGGTGGCATTGACAGAACCAGACCCCTTAGCATCATCTTGGCTGAAGGTGGCATTGACAGAACCAGACCCCTCAGGAGAGTCTTGGCTGAAGGTGGCATTCACAGAACCAGACCCTTCAGCATCATCTTGGCTGAAGGTGGTGTTTACAAAACCAGACCCCTCAGAATAGTCTTGGCTGAAGGTGGCATTGACAGAACCAGACCCCTCAGCATCGTCCTGGCTGAAGGTGGCGTTGACAGAACCAGACCCCTCAGGAGAGTCTTGGCTGAAGGTGGCGTTGACAGAACCAGACCCCTCAGCATCATCCTGGCTGAAGGTGGCGTTGACAGAACCAGACCCCTCAGCATAGTCCTGGCTGAAGGTGGCGTTGACAGAACCAGACCCCTCAGCATAGTCTTGGCTGAAGGTGGCGTTGACAGACCCAGACCCCTCAGGAGAATCCTGGCTGAAGGTGGCATTGACAGAACCAGGCCCCTCAGCATCATCTTGGCTGAAGGTGGCATTGACAGAACCAGACCCCTCAGGAGAGTCTTGGCTGAAGGTGGCATTCACAGAACCAGACCCCTCAGCATAGTCTTGGCTGAAGGTGGCGTTGACAGAACCAGACCCCTCAGCATAGTCTCGGCTGAAGGTGGCTTTGACAGAACCAGACCCGTCAGCATCATCTTGGCTGAAGGTGGCATTGACAGAACCAGACCCCTGAGCATCGCCCTGGCTGAAGGTGGTGTTTACAAAACCAGACCCCTCAGAATAGTCTTGGCTGAAGGTGGCATTGACAGAACCAGACCCCTCAGCATCGTCCTGGCTGAAGGTGGCGTTGACAGAACCAGACCCCTCAGGAGAGTCTTGGCTGAAGGTGGCGTTGACAGAACCAGACCCCTCAGCATCGTCCTGGTTGAAGGTGGCGTTTACAGAACCAGACCCCTCAGCATCGTCCTGGCTGAAGGTGGCGTTGACAGAACCAGACCCCTCAGGAGAGTCTTGGCTGAAGGTGGCATTCACAGAACTGGATCCCTCAGCGTCATCCTGGCTAAAAGTGCCCTGCAGTTGGACAGAGTTAGAATTGTCTGGAGAGAGGGAGAAAGAGAAATAATTTTTTTGTTAATAGCAAAAACAACAAACATGTAAACATGTTAGTATAAGCTCATTACTTTTGTACAAGAGTATGTCAAATTATGAAGCACAGGTCTACAAACCTTTTTCCCCAACATCACTCAAGAAGAAATCTAAGGATCCATCTTCGACTGCGCAGCTGAAAGCTGAGAAACATATTTGACATTTAAAAAAAAAAAAAATCAGACAAGAAACATTATTAATAACAAACAAAAAAGAAACTCACCATGCCATACTAACTGGTGATAAAGAACTACCAAAACAGCAGTTCTGATCAAACCCATTCTATAACACAAACTGAGCCACAAAGACAGCCAATTCAACTGCAAAAGCTAAAGTTTCAAACCAAACATGTCTTTTAAAGCCAAACAGAAAACCATTTGTACCACCTGGATGACTCGTTAACTCATTATTGGGGCAAATCTGCTAATTAATGAGATCAATAATTAATTATTCACTCAGTAGCATACTAGCTGATGTCATATCCCACATCAGTAAAGTTTCAATGTTTATCTCTTGTGATTCATTGATCTCCACTGAAAGAAGGCCCAACAACACACACACTTAAACCTGGGGTGTATTCCAGAAAGCAAGGTTAACTTACCGTCAGATAAACCTTGAACTCTTGGTTGGTTAACCCCAAACTTGCTTACTCTGGGTATGTCGGTTCCAAAACACCTATGTTGAGTTAGTTTAATCAACCTCCTATTGGTAACCCAGAGTTAATGCGCGCGCACGACGAGGACATAAAGACATTTTCAATGGATCGCCGATTTCAGGAGTCACCATGGAAACCAAGGGAGAAAAAAAGCGAGCTACATACGATACTTCGGTGAAACTGAGTTGGAGGTTTTAATGCTTGCTTATGAAGACTATAGCCTAAGCCCATTATAAAAAAAAAAAAAAAAAAAAAAAAACAATACTGCTGCATCAGCAAAAGAAAGTTGGCTTGGCAAATAATAATGGACAGAGTAAATGCTTGAGTTTAGAAAATTATAAATGGAGTATTTTCCCTTTGTGAGTCACAATGAAAGGGGAAAATAGCCTACCCCATTTATAATTTGTGACGCAAAAATTCTTTGGGGGCATGTAGTAAAAATAGACAAGTATTTACTTGTTGGCCTCCATACATTTCTTAATATTACAGTAGTAATGCACATAATTGGCTAGTTATATGTTGGCTTCTCGTTTTATCAGGTGTAATCCTTCTGGAGCCAGAAGAAGTGTGAGCCAAGTCAAAATGAAACACAAAAACATTCTCCAGCAAGGTAATATTTTCTAAACTTACTAAACTTGTTACTGACATTTAATACTAATTTAGTATTAAATGTAATTTAGTTTTCTATGTAGCCAATAGAAAGAAGGGAGCTGAGGAGCTGGCACTGTCCCTTAATAAAGGGCCACCTGTGGTCGATGGGATTCCAGGGGCAGTTCGTCAGACTCCGCTACCAAGACAAGTGGCTTAGTAAAATGTAGGTGTACCATATTAATACTTATGATTTATTGATGTTTACACTGTTTTTGTCAGTGTTTTAATAAATAAAATCAACACTGTCACCATTTTAAAAAGGCATTTTGAATTCATTTTACAGTCATTGATTCACTTGTGCAGTATGCATGCTGCTCTGACTGCATATGCTGTATACTGTAATCTTATTACTAGTACTTAGATGCTCCTAATGTCCTTCTTTATTAGTTGTATTTGCTTAAGAATATACATTGAGAATTGAATATGCATGATTATCATGGTTTAATTATCTTGCAGTTGCTGATGGCCACATTGTATTATTGGATCCTTCTGCAACACCACACTCTGTCACAGTTGTAAGTGATTATTGTCTTTAGGTTTCTGTTTGCTAGACCAAGCATCCTTCCTTATTTTCACTGTAGGATGATGATGAAGAGACCACTTCTGCTGTGACAGAAACAGAAAATGTGGGGAGGCCCATAGAGGTATGATGCATAGAATGCATTCCCCCTTTTTTACACAAGAGAATAAATAGTCATTGTCATTTTAATACAGATGAGGGTCCATCTACCTCCACACAGAATCTTAGCAGTGTAAGAAATGTTCTGCAGTTCTCCTTCCTCATTTAAATATTTGGTCTGTGTTTGTATTACAGACTTTTTCAGTCTTTCTAGTTGCCTGCCAAAAAGCTGTACAAGGTCCACCTTTAAAAGCAAATCAGAAAAAGTGACATGGAGATGGACCTTATACAGCTTCAAATGGAGGAGAAAAGGCTTAACCTAAAAAAGGCCAGACTTGAAATTGAATTGCTGGAGCACTAGCTTAAGGTGGGAAAAAGTATGTAAACATTAATCTGTCATTTGTTGTTGAATGAAATCTAAAGCAATAAATACAAATGTCTTTTGTTACAGGAAATAAAGAAACAATGAACACTTGACTGTTAACTGGTTTTAATTAAAGTGATTTTGGCAAATCTTGTGTCACAGGTCGGGGGGGCCAAGCCAGACTGCGCCCACCCCTCAAAACCCAGGACCACCTCGAGGAGCGTACCAGAGACCAGACAGACAAGGAGATTTTCTAAAAGTAACCATCTTTATTTAAATAAAAGCAGGAATTAAAAGTCTTAATATGGGCTTCGTCTCTCTTTCCAGGGAGGAGGAGACCGAGGGGTGCGCTGCGAGGGCCCGGACTACTGGCAGCCACAGAGGAGGAGGGAGCCGAACGCCCGTCTGGCGTGCAGGTAAGTAACGTGGTAAGAAGGCCCTTTTCGGCGAATTACAGGCGGACAACGGTCTGGGCAGACCAGGGCCGGGACCACGGGCCAGGCGAGGACTCTCTCCACAGGACAGGTGGGTAGCAGGTAAGTTCTCAAGCGTCAGCTATTCGACAGGTGCGAGGTCCTCCGGGGGCCTTTCCGCCCTTGACGACCCCAGCCAGAGACAAGGGTACCCTGTATGATCCAGGACAGAGACAAGTGTGCAGGTTTAATTCTATTTCAGTGAAGGGTGGACTTACGGCTGGAGCGGGTGGTTCGGGACAAGCAGCGCTGCTGCTGGGGTGTGTCTCTCCTCTGAACAGGCAGCACACAAGAAGGCCGAGGCAGAAGAATCTTCTGTCTAGATAGGCAAAGCCTTGGATACAAGAACGAACAGGATCCTTTCATATAGTGGGGAATCAGGCTTACGGCTGGGCTGGGTGGTTCCCACGGTAACGCGAAGGCTGGGGCGTGTCTTTCCTCCAAACAGGTAGCACAAGCAGGCGGTGGCAGAGGAACGTTCTATTTAAATCGACAGAACAAGTTAAACAAGGCAATCACCCTCCTCTCCCATATCACAGGACCTGGTGGCAAAAGTGGAACATACACGTTCAGCCTGAGGGCTTCGTTCCGCAAACACTGGCGAGAATGTGAACTGGAGAACACTGGCGGTTAAATAAACATGTATATCCACACACTGCAACTTCACGTCAAGTCCAATACTGTGTGACACTTCAATTCAGGTACCGCAATCCACTCTCCAATCTTAGTGCAATAAGGCCAGCACTCACCCAATGTTCAATCCCTCCACTGTTGCGCTGATTCGCCACTCAGAAGCTGGTGAGATGCAGAGGATTTCGCACCGCATGGAACACAGCGTCTTCAACACTCTTTCATACTCAGAAGATATCAGGGGTTCAAAGATGAATCAGTTCACACTCTTAGTGGTAATTATATTTGTGGTCAATACACTTGACAATTCCTTATCCAATTCAGTGCAAGACATGCATTCACACGGATCCGGTGTTTCATTACTTATCTTTCTCCCTCGAGTGATGACATTCTCCAATCTTGACTCAATCTCCACAATTCGCTCACTTCACATCCAATTCACGTTCCAGCTTGCACTCCCTCAATCACCGTTGCACCCCTTTCCAGTCAGATCCTCACAGCCGCTCCAAAGATCCCAGCAAACCCCAGCCACAGCCAAAGGAATCGATCTCTCCCGAGGGAGTACCACACTCGAATGCCTTTTCCTTTTCTTTTTAACTGCTTCTCTGGGCCGTGTTTCCCAATCACAGATCCCCACACCAAACACTCGCACCTGGTACCGCTTAGCTAATCAGCTGCCGCTGTCATGGCAACTGACAACAGCAAACCAGCACGGTGTGCCGGTGAAATCGTCCCGGGTGAAACACACTCCTAGCGGAAATTAGTTCCGCTAGATTTGTCACCTTGTGACACTTGTCTTGTACCACCCTGCCATCTCTTTGGTCTACTGGGTTCACTGGGGGTTCCTCTTGGCCACATATTACCTAGTTAGTGGGGACCAGTGATGAGGGTGATTTAATGGTTTAAACACCCAAACATTTAGCATCCAAAAAATCTATTGTCACCTGCACATTGATGCTATGCATTGACTTCCTATTTACATAGTCTCCTTCATTGATGGAAGGAGCTTTAATGTGAATGTGGGTTCCATCAATGCACCCAATCACATTTGGGAACCCTGAAATTGAAAGTTATATAATTAGAAACATTTAAAATTATTGTGACTGTATAAAGTAGGGTTAGATTAAGTAGTGCTATATGTAATTAAAATGGTCAGGGGACGCCATGCTCTGTCACCTCTCTGAAACAAACTAACCCTGGAACATAACCTGCTCCGGAGCAGGTTAAGTTCAGAGAGTGAGTTGCTATGACTACTATAATACCCTGAAAGTTACCTCCGTTTTTGGAAGCGAAAGTTGAGGTTATCCGCTTACTTACTCTTAAACATACCCGGGTATGTCACATAACCTGCTTTCTGGAATACACCCCTGGTTTCACAGACAGGGCTTAGATTAAGCCAGGATTAGGCCTTAGTTCAATTAGGAAATTTGATGAGCTTTTATAAACGTGCCTTACAAAAAATATTACTGGTCTGCATTTTGAGACAAAACAAAGGTACTGGCATATTTTAATATGCTTTCAGTTAAAACAACTCAAACTTGCATTTTAGTCTGGGACTAGGTTTAAGATTCGTCTGTGAAACCAGGCAATACTCTATTATTCCACATCAACTGGTGAGAAAGCACCAAATAAAGAGAACAGAAAATTGGTCTCTTTGAAAAAAAAAAAAAAGACTTTAGTACCAAAAATGCATCTAAAATAATAGATTTTCTCCAGAAACAGTCTAAACCTAGACTGAAAACACATATGCCAGACATACAGCCGACTTCTTAAAATTGCTACAGGCAACTCTATATCAGTGTAGAAGGAGGGCTCAGAAATTGACTATTTTTGTCACACAGTGAAACAACTTAAAATTAATATACACATGAACCTCAGACTACTCATGGATCATTTAAGGTGTTTTTTTTTAGTCTTAAAGGTACAGGCACAAACATCCCCTTCAGACTTGTTTCATGGATGAAAAGACAAGGGTTTAGAGTAATATCATGGGGAGTAAACTAGATTCATATTGGGCAAACTTCTCCTTCAAACTGCTTCCACAAGCAGGACTCCTTAATCATTCACTCATCTATGAATATCTGCAAAATTTTGTAGACACTTTTTCCTATCATAGTCTATCAATGTTCACTGTACTTCACAGCTGAACACTTCTTGGGCAAAACCGGACCTCAATAGACAGACCTTCTGCAATCCACATGACAATGATGCCATCACAAACTAACACAAGTGGCTGTAAAACCTTAGCGAATCTAAAAGAAAGGAGTTGACAAACCAAACCATGAAACCCATTCCAAAAGAAATAATTTATTTTGTTACACAGAATCTTGACAAGTTAAATAGACAGGGGCTAAAACAGAACCGGACCCCTCAGCATCATCCTAGCTAAAGGTGGTGTTAACAAAACCAGACCCCTCAGGAGAGTCTTGGCTAAAGGTGGCGTTGACAGAACCAGACCCCTCAGCATAGTCTTGGCTAAAGGTGGCGTTGACAGAACCAGACCCCTCAGGAGAGTCTTGGCTGAAGGTGGCGTTGACAGAACCAGACCCCTCAGCATAGTCTTGGCTGAAGGTGGCGTTGACAGAACCAGACCCCTCAGGAGAGTCTTGGCTAAAGGTGGCGTTGACAGAACCAGACCCCTCAGCATAGTCTTGGCTAAAGGTGGTGTTGACAGAACCAGACCCCTCAGGAGAGTCGTGGCTGAAGGTGGCGTTGACAGAACCAGACCCCTCAGCATCATCTTGGCTGAAGGTGGCATTGACAGAACCAGACCCCTCAGCATCATCTTGGCTGAAGGTGGCATTGACAGAACCAGACCCCTCAGGAGAGTCTTGGCTGAAAGTGGGATTCACAGAACCAGACCCCTCAGCATCATCTTGGCTGAAGGTGGCGTTGACAAAACCAGACCCTTCAGCATCATCTTGGCTGAAGGTGGCATTGACAGAACCAGACCCCTGAGCATCGTCCTGGCTGAAGGTGGTGTTTACAAAACCAGACCCCTCAGAATAGTCTTGGCTGAAGGTGGCATTGACAGAACCAGACCCCTCAGCATAGTCTTGGCTGAAGGTGGCGTTGACAGAACCAGACCCCTCAGGAGAGTCTTGGCTAAAGGTGGCGTTGACAGAACCAGACCCCTCAGCATAGTCTTGGCTAAAGGTGGCGTTGACAGAACCAGACCCCTCAGCATCATCTTGGCTGAAGGTGGCATTGACAGAACCAGACCCCTCAGGAGAGTCTTGGCTAAAGGTGGCGTTGACAGAACCAGACCCCTCAGTATCATCTTGGCTGAAGGTGGCATTGACAGAACCAGACCCCTCAGCATCATCTTGGCTGAAGGTGGCATTGACAGAACCAGACCCCTCAGGAGAGTCTTGGCTGAAGGTGGCGTTGACAGAACCAGACCCCTCAGCATCATCTTGGCTGAAGGTGGCATTGACAGAACCAGACCCCTCAGCATCATCTTGGCTGAAGGTGGCATTGACAGAACCAGACCCCTCAGGAGAGTCTTGGCTGAAGGTGGCATTCACAGAACCAGACCCCTCAGCATCATCTTGGCTGAAGGTGGCGTTGACAAAACCAGACCCTTCAGCATCATCTTGGCTGAAGGTGGCATTGACAGAACCAGACCCCTGAGCATCGTCCTGGCTGAAGGTGGTGTTTACAAAACCAGACCCCTCAGCATCGTCCTGGCTGAAGGTGGCGTTGACAGAACCAGACCCCTCAGGAGAGTCTTGGCTGAAGGTGGCGTTGACAGAACCAGACCCCACAGCATCGTCCTGGCTGAAGGTGGCGTTGACAGAACCAGACCCCTCAGGAGAGTCTTGGCTGAAGGTGGCGTTGACAGAACCAGACCCCTCAGGAGAGTCTTGGCTGAAGGTGGAGTTGACAGAACCAGACGCCTCAGCATCATCCTGGCTGAAGGTGGCGTTGACAGAACCAGACCCCTCAGCATAGTCTTGGCTGAAGGTGGCGTTGACAGACCCAGACCCCTCAGGAGAATCCTGGCTGAAGGTGGCATTGACAGAACCAGACCCCTCAGCATAGTCTTGGCTGAAGGTGGCGTTGACAGAACCAGACCCCTCAGCATAGTCCTGGCTGAAGGTGGCGTTGACAGAACCAGACCCCTCAGCATCGTCCTGGCTGAAGGTGGCGTTGACAGAACCAGACCCCTCAGCATAGTCCTGGCTGAAGGTGGCGTTGACAGAACCAGACCCCTCAGCATCATCTTGGCTGAAGGTGGCATTGACAGAACCAGACCCCTGAGCATCGTCCTGGCTGAAGGTGGCGTTGACAGAACCAGACCCCTCAGGAGAGTCTTGGCTGAAGGTGGCGTTGACAGAACCAGACCCCTCAGCATAGTCTTGGCTGAAGGTGGCGTTGACAGAACCAGACCCCTCAGCATCATCTTGGCTGAAGGTGGCATTGACAGAACCAGACCCCTGAGCATCGTCCTGGCTGAAGGTGGCGTTGACAGAACCAGACCCCTCAGGAGAGTCTTGGCTGAAGGTGGCGTTGACAGAACCAGACCCCTCAGCATAGTCTTGGCTAAAGGTGGCATTGACAGAACCAGACCCCTCAGGAGAGTCTTGGCTGAAGGTGGCGTTGACAGAACCAGACCCCTCAGCATCATCTTGGCTGAAGGTGCCATTGACAGAACCAGACCCCTCAGCATCATCTTGGCTGAAGGTGGCATTGACAGAACCAGACCCCTCAGGAGAGTCTTGGCTGAAGGTGGCATTCACAGAACCAGACCCCTCAGCATAGTCTTGGCTGAAGGTGGCGTTGACAGAACCAGACCCCTCAGCATAGTCTCGGCTGAAGGTGGCTTTGACAGAACCAGACCCCTCAGCATCATCTTGGCTGAAGGTGGCATTGACAGAACCAGACCCCTGAGCATCGTCCTGGCTGAAGGTGGTGTTTACAAAACCAGACCCCTCAGAATAGTCTTGGCTGAAGGTGGCATTGACAGAACCAGACCCCTCAGCATCGTCCTGGCTGAAGGTGGCGTTGACAGAACCAGACCCCTCAGGAGAGTCTTGGCTGAAGGTGGCGTTGACAGAACCAGACCCCTCAGCATCGTCCTGGCTGAAGGTGGCGTTTACAGAACCAGACCCCTCAGCATCGTCCTGGCTGAAGGTGGCGTTGACAGAACCAGACCCCTCAGGAGAGTCTTGGCTGAAGGTGGCATTGACAGAACTGGATCCCTCAGCGTCATCCTGGCTAAAAGTGCCCTGCAGTTGGACAGAGTTAGAATTGTCTGGAGAGAGGGAGAAAGAGAAATAATTTTTTTGTTAATAGCAAAAACAACAAACATGTAAACATGTTAGTATAAGCTCATTACTTTTGTACAAGAGTATGTCAAATTATGAAGCACAGGTCTACAAACCTTTTTCCCCAACATCACTCAAGAAGAAATCTAAGGATCCATCTTCGACTGCGCAGCTGAAAGCTGAGAAACATATTTGACATTTAAAAAAAAAAAAAAATCAGACAAGAAACATTATTAATAACAAACAAAAAAGAAACTCACCATTCCATACTAACTGGTGATAAAGAACTACCAAAACAGCAGTTCTGATCAAACCCATTCTATAACACAAACTGAGCCACTAAGACAGCCAATTCAAGTGCAAAAGCTAAAGTTTCAAACCAAACATGTCTTTTAAAGCCAAACAGAAAACCATTTGTACCACCTGGATGACTCGTTAACTCATTATTGGGGCAAATCTGCTAATTAATGAGATCAATAATTAATTATTCACTCAGTAGCATACTAGCTGATGTCATATCCCACATCAGTAAAGTTTCAATGTTTATCTCTTGTGATTCATTGATCTCCACTGAAAGAAGGCCCAACAACACACACACTTAGGCCTGGTTTCACAGACAGGGCTTAGATTAAGCCAGGATTAGGCCTTAGTTCAATTAGGAAATTTGATGAGCTTTTATAAACGTGCCTTACAAAAAATATTACTGGTCTGCATTTTGAGACAAAACAAAGGTACTGGCATATTTTAATATGCTTTCAGTTAAAACAACTCAAACTTGCATTTTAGTCTGGGACTAGGTTTAAGATTTGTCTGTGAAACCAGGCAATACTCTATTATTCCACATCAACTGGTGAAAAAGCACCAAATAAAGAGAACAGAAAATTGGTCTCTTTGGGAAATAAAAAGACTTTAGTACCAAAAATGCATCTAAAATAATAGATTTTCTCCAGAAACAGTCTAAACCTAGACTGAAAACACATATGCCAGACATACAGCCGACTTCTTAAAATTGCTACAGGCAACTCTATATCAGTGTAGAAGGAGGGCTCAGAAATTGACTATTTTTGTCACACAGTGAAACAACTTAAAATTAATATACACATGAACCTCAGACTACTCATGGATCATTTAAGGTGTTTTTTTTTAGTCTTAAAGGTACAGGCACAAACATCCCCTTCAGACCTGTTTCATGGATGAAAAGACAAGGGTTTAGAGTAATATCATGGGGAGTAAACTAGATTCATATTGCGCAAACTTCTCCTTCAAACTGCTTCCACAAGCAGGACTCCTTAATCATTCACTCATCTATGAATATCTGCAAAATTTTGTAGACACTTTTTCCTATCATAGTCTATCAATGTTCACTGTACTTCACAGCTGAACACTTCTTGGGCAAAACCGGACCTCAATAGACAGACCTTCTGCAATCCACTTGACAATGATGCCATCACAAACTAACCCAAGTGGCTGTAAAACCCTAGCGAATCTAAAAGAAAGGAGTTGACAAACCAAACCATGAAACCCATTCCAAAAGAAATAATTTATTTTGTTACACAGAATCTTGACAAGTTAAATAGACAGGGGCTAAAACAGAACCGGACCCCTCAGCATCATCCTAGCTAAAGGTGGTGTTAACAGAACCAGACCCCTCAGGAGAGTCTTGGCTAAAGGTGGCGTTGACAGAACCAGACCCCTCAGGAGAGTCTTGGCTGAAGGTGGCGTTGACAGAAACAGACCCCTCAGGAGAGTCCTGGCTGAAGGTGGCGTTGACAGAACCAGACCCCTCAGCATAGTCTTGGCTGAAGGTGGCGTTGACAGAACCAGACCCCTCAGGAGAGTCTTGGCTAAAGGTGGCGTTGACAGAACCAGACCCCTCAGCATAGTCTTGGCTAAAGGTGGCATTGACAGAACCAGACCCCTCAGCATCATCTTGGCTGAAGGTGGCATTGACAGAACCAGACCCCTCAGGAGAGGCTTGGCTAAAGGTGGCGTTGACAGAACCAGACCCCTCAGGAGAGTCTTGGCTGAAGGTGGCGTTGACAGAACCAGACCCCTCAGTATCATCTTGGCTGAAGGTGGCATTGACAGAACCAGACCCCTCAGCATCATCTTGGCTGAAGGTGGCATTGACAGAACCAGACCCCTCAGGAGAGTCCTGGCTGAAGGTGGCGTTGACAAAACCAGACCCCTCAGCATAGTCTTGGCTGAAGGTGGCGTTGACAGAACCAGACCCCTCAGGAGAGTCTTGGCTAAAGGTGGCGTTGACAGAACCAGACCCCTCAGCATAGTCTTGGCTAAAGGTGGCGTTGACAGAACCAGACCCCTCAGCATCATCTTGGCTGAAGGTGGCATTGACAGAACCAGACCCCTCAGGAGAGTCTTGGCTAAAGGTGGCGTTGACAGAACCAGACCCCTCAGGAGAGTCTTGGCTGAAGGTGGCGTTGACAGAACCAGACCCCTCAGTATCATCTTGGCTGAAGGTGGCATTGACAGAACCAGACCCCTCAGCATCATCTTGGCTGAAGGTGGCATTGACAGAACCAGACCCCTCAGGAGAGTCTTGGCTGAAGGTGGCATTCACAGAACCAGACCCTTCAGCATCATCTTGGCTGAAGGTGGCATTGACAGAACCAGACCCCTCAGAATAGTCTTGGCTGAAGGTGGCATTGACAGAACCAGACCCCTCAGCATCGTCCTGGCTGAAGGTGACGTTGACAGAACCAGACCCCTCAGGAGAGTCTTGGCTGAAGGTGGCGTTGACAGAACCAGACCCCTCAGCATCGTCCTGGCTGAAGGTGGCATTGACAGAACCAGATCCCTTAGCATCATCTTGGCTGAAGGTGGCATTGACAGAACCAGACCCCTCAGGAGAGTCTTGGCTGAAGGTGGCATTCACAGAACCAGACCCTTCAGCATCATCTTGGCTGAAGGTGGTGTTTACAAAACCAGACCCCTCAGAATAGTCTTGGCTGAAGGTGGCATTGACAGAACCAGACCCCTCAGCATCGTCCTGGCTGAAGGTGGCGTTGACAGAACCAGACCCCTCAGGAGAGTCTTGGCTGAAGGTGGCGTTGACAGAACCAGACCCCTCAGCATCATCCTGGCTGAAGGTGGCGTTGACAGAACCAGACCCCTCAGCATAGTCCTGGCTGAAGGTGGCGTTGACAGAACCAGACCCCTCAGCATAGTCTTGGCTGAAGGTGGCGTTGACAGACCCAGACCCCTCAGGAGAATCCTGGCTGAAGGTGGCATTGACAGAACCAGGCCCCTCAGCATCATCTTGGCTGAAGGTGGCATTGACAGAACCAGACCCCTCAGGAGAGTCTTGGCTGAAGGTGGCATTCACAGAACCAGACCCCTCAGCATAGTCTTGGCTGAAGGTGGCGTTGACAGAACCAGACCCCTCAGCATAGTCTCGGCTGAAGGTGGCTTTGACAGAACCAGACCCGTCAGCATCATCTTGGCTGAAGGTGGCATTGACAGAACCAGACCCCTGAGCATCGCCCTGGCTGAAGGTGGTGTTTACAAAACCAGACCCCTCAGAATAGTCTTGGCTGAAGGTGGCATTGACAGAACCAGACCCCTCAGCATCGTCCTGGCTGAAGGTGGCGTTGACAGAACCAGACCCCTCAGCATCGTCCTGGCTGAAGGTGGCGTTGACAGAACCAGACCCCTCAGCATAGTCCTGGCTGAAGGTGGCGTTGACAGAACCAGACCCCTCAGCATCATCTTGGCTGAAGGTGGCATTGACAGAACCAGACCCCTCAGCATCATCTTGGCTGAAGGTGGCATTGACAGAACCAGACCCCTCAGGAGAGTCTAGGCTGAAGGTGGCATTCACAGAACCAGACCCCTCAGCATAGTCTTGGCTGAAGGTGGCGTTGACAGAACCAGACCCCTCAGGAGAGTCTTGGCTGAAGGTGGCGTTGACAGAAACAGACCCCTCAGCATCATCTTGGCTGAAGGTGGCATTGACAGAAACAGACCCCTCAGCATCATCTTGGCTGAAGGTGGCATTGACAGAACCAGACCCCTCAGGAGAGTCTTGGCTGAAGGTGGCATTCACAGAACCAGACCCCTCAGCATAGTCTTGGCTGAAGGTGGCGTTGACAGAACCAGACCCCTCAGGAGAGTCTTGGCTGAAGGTGGCACTCACAGAACCAGACCCCTCAGGAGAGTCCTGGCTGAAGGTGGCGTTGACAGAACCAGACCCCTCAGCATCATCTTGGCTGAAGGTGGCATTGACAGAACCAGACCCCTCAGGAGAGTCCTGGCTGAAGGTGGCGTTGACAGAACCAGACCCCTCAGCATCATCTTGGCTGAAGGTGGCATTGACAGAACCAGACCCCTCAGGAGAGTCTTGGCTGAAGGTGGCATTCACAGAACCAGACCCCTCAGCATCATCTTGGCTAAAGGTGGCGTTGACAGAACCAGACCCCTCAGCATAGTCTTGGCTAAAGGTGGCATTGACAGAACCAGACCCCTCAGGAGAGTCTTGGCTGAAGGTGGCATTGACAGAACCAGACCCCTCAGCATCATCTTGGCTGAAGGTGGCATTGACAGAACCAGACCCCTCAGGAGAGTCTTGGCTAAAGGTGGCGTTGACAGAACCAGACCCCTCAGGAGAGTCTTGGCTGAAGGTGGCGTTGACAGAACCAGACCCCTCAGCATCATCTTGGCTGAAGGTGGCATTGACAGAACCAGACCCCTCAGGAGAGTCTTGGCTGAAGGTGGCATTCACAGAACCAGACCCCTCAGCATCATCTTGGCTAAAGGTGGCGTTGACAGAACCAGACCCCTCAGCATAGTCTTGGCTAAAGGTGGCGTTGACAGAACCAGACCCCTCAGGAGAGTCTTGGCTGAAGGTGGCGTTGACAGAACCAGACCCCTCAGCATCATCTTGGCTGAAGGTGGCATTGACAGAACCAGACCCCTCAGCATCATCTTGGCTGAAGGTGGGATTGACAGAACCAGACCCCTCAGGAGAGTCTTGGCTGAAGGTGGCATTCACAGAACCAGACCCCTCAGCATCATCTTGGCTGAAGGTGGCATTGACAGAACCAGACCCCTCAGCATCATCTTGGCTGAAGGTGGGGTTGACAAAACCAGACCCTTCAGCATAGTCTTGGCTGAAGGTGGCGTTGACAGAACCAGACCCCTCAGGAGAGTCTTGGCTGAAGGTGGCATTGACAGAACTGGATCCCTCAGCGTCATCCTTGCTAAAAGTGCCCTGCAGTTGGACAGAGTTAGAATTGTCTGGAGAGAGGGAGAAAGAGAAATACATTTTTTTTGTTAATAGCAAAAACAACAAACATGTAAACATGTTAGTATAAGCTCATTACTTTTGTACAAGAGTATGTCAAATTATGAAGCACAGGTCTACAAACCTTTTTCCCCAACATCACTCAAGAAGAAATCTAAGGATCCATCTTCGACTGCGCAGCTGAAAGCTGAGAAACATATTTGACATTTAAAAAAAAAAAATCAGACAAGAAACCTTATTAATAACAAACAAAAAAGAAACTCACCATGCCAAACTAACTGGTGATAAAGAACTACCAAAACAGCAATTTTGATCAAACCCATTCTATAACACAAACTGAGCCACTAAGACAGCCAATTCAACTGCAAAAGCTAAAGTTTCAAACCAAACATGTCTTTTAAAGCCAAACAGAAAACCATTTGTACCACCTGGATGACTCGCTAACTCATTATTGGGGCAAATCTGCTAATTAATGAGATCAATAATTAATTATTCACTCAGTAGCATACTAGCTGATGTCATATCCCACATCAGTAAAGTTTCAATGTTTATCTCTTGTGATTCATTGATCACCACTGAAAGAAGGCCCAACAACACACACACTTAGGCCTGGTTTCACAGACAGGGCTTAGATTAAGCCAGGATTAGGCCTTAGTTCAATTAGGAAATTTGATGAGCTTTTATAAGCGTGCCTTACAAAAAATATTACTGGTCTGCATTTTGAGACAAAACAAAGGCACTGGCATATTTTAATATGCTTTCAGTTAAAACAACTCAAACTTGTATTTTAGTCTGGGACTAGGTTTAGGATTTGTCTGTGAAACCAGGCAATACTCTATTATTCCACATCAACTGGTGAGAAAGCACCAAATAAAGAGAACAGAAAATTTGTCTCTACACATGAACCTCAGACTACTCGTGGATCATTTAAGGTGTTTTTTTGAGTCTGAAAGGTACAGGCACAAACATCCCCTACAGCCTTGTTTCATGGATGAAAAGACAAGGGTTTAGAGTAATATCATGGGGAGTAAACTAGATTCATGTTGGGCAAACTACTCCTTCAAACTGCTTTCACAAGCAGGACTCCTTAATCATACACTCATCTATGAATATCCACAATTTTGTAAACACTTTTTCCTATCATAGTCTATCAATGTTGACTGTACTTCACAGCTGAACACTTCTTGGGCAAAACTGGACCTCAATAGACAGGACTTCTGCAATCCACATGACAATGATGCTATCACAAACTAACCCAAGTGGCTGTAAAGCCCTAGCGAATCTAAAAGAAAGGAGTTGACAAACCAAACCATGAAACCCATTCCAAAAGAAATAATTTATTTTGTTACACAGAATCTTGACTCATGACAAGTTAAATAGACAGGGGCTAAAACAGAACCGACCCCTCAGCATCATCCTAGCTGAAGGTGGTGTTAACAGAACCAGACCCCTCAGGAGAGTCTTGGTTGAAGGTGGCGTTTACAAAACCAGACCCCTCAGCATAGTCTTGGCTGAAGGTGGCGTTAACAGAACCAGACCCCTCAGCATAGTCTTGGCTGAAGGTGGCGTTAACAGAACCAGACCCCTCAGGAGAGTCCTGGCTGAAGGTGGCGTTGACAGAACCAGACCCCTCAGCGTAGTCTTGGCTGAAGGTGGCGTTTACAAAACCAGACCCCTCAGCATAGTCTTGGCTGAAGGTGGCGTTGACAGACCCAGACCCCTCAGGAGAGTCCTGGCTGAAGGTGGTGTTAACAGAACCAGACCCCTCAGCATAGTCTTGGTTGAAGGTGGCGTTTACAAAACCAGACCCCTCAGCATAGTCTTGGCTGAAGGTGGCGTTTACAAAACCAGACCCCTCAGCATAGTCTTGGTTGAAGGTGGCGTTTACAAAACCAGACCCCTCAGCATAGTCTTGGCTGAAGGTGGCGTTTACAGAACCAGACCCCTCGGGAGAGTCTTGGCTGAAGGTGGCGTTTACAAAACCAGACCCCTCAGCATAGTCTTGGCTGAAGGTGGCGTTTACAGAACCAGACCCCTCAGGAGAGTCCTGGCTGAAGGTGGCGTTGGCAGAACCAGACCCCTCAGCATAGTCTAGGCTGAAGGTGGCGTTTACAGAACCAGACCCCTCAGGAGAGTGCTGGCTGAAGGTGGCGTTGGCCGAACCAGACACCTCAGCATAGTCTTGGCTGAAGGTGGCGTTTGCAGAACCAGACCCCTCAGGAGAGTCCTGGCTGAAGGTGGCGTTGGCAGAACCAGACCCCTCAGGAGAGTCCTGGCTGAAGGTGGCGTTGGCAGAACCAGACCCCTCAGTATAGTCTTGGCTGAAGGTGGCGTTGACAGAACCAGACCCCTCAGGAGAGTCCTGGCTGATGGTGGCGTTGACAGAACCAGACCCCTGAGCATCGTCCTGGCTGAAGGTGGCGTTTACAGAACCAGACCCCTCAGCATAGTCTTGGCTGAAGGTGGCGTTGACAGAACCAGACCCCTCAGGAGAGTCCTGGCTGAAGGTGGCGTTGGCAGAACCAGACCCCTCAGGAGAGTCCTGGCTGAAGGTGGCGTTGGCAGAACCAGATCCCTCAGCATAGTCTTGGCTGAAGGTGGCGTTGACAGAACCAGACCCCTCAGGACAGTCCTGGCTGATGGTGGCGTTGACAGAACCAGACCCCTCAGCATAGTCTTGGCTGAAGGTGGCGTTGACAGAACCAGACCCCTCAGGAGAGTCCTGGCTGAAGGTGGCGTTGGCAGAACCAGACCCCTCAGGAGAGTCCTGGCTGAAGGTGGCATTGGCAGAACCAGACCCCTCAGCATAGTCTTGGCTGATGGTGGCGTTGACAGAACCAGACCCCTGAGCATCGTCCTGGCTGAAGGTGGCGTTGACAGAACCAGACCCCTCAGGAGAGTCCTGGCTGATGGTGGCGTTGACAGAACCAGACCCCTCAGCATAGTCTTGGCTGAAGGTGGCGTTGACAGAACCAGACCCCTCAGGAGAGTCCTGGCTGAAGGTGGCTGAAGAAAGAGAAATACATTTTTTTTTTGCTAATAGCAAAAACAACAAACATGTAAACATGTTAGTATAAACTCATATTACTTAAGTACAAGAGAATTTCAAATTATGAAACACAGGTCTACAAACCTTTTTCTCCAACTACTCTCCCAACATCACTCAAGGAGAAATCTAAGGATCCATCTTCGACTGCGCAGCTGAAAGCTGAGAAACATATTTGATAATTAAAAAAATAAGAAAACAGACAAGAAACCTTATTAATAACAAACTAAAATTAAACTCACAATGCCATACTTACGGTGGCCCAGTAGTGCACAACACAACGAAATTCAAAAAGCAAACATAAGTTCACAACACAACGGAAACAAGCCACAACACAACGCAAAAAAGCCGCAACACAACGGAAACAAGCCACAACACAACGAAATAGCCACAACACAACGGAATAGCCACAATACAACGGAATAGCCACAACACAACGGAAATGCTCCCGACCACTAGGGGGACAGGTGGTCTCCGGAAACGGTAAATTGCTCTCAATCTCCCATGCGTTATCGCTGGCTGTCTGGATGCTAGACACACACGAAGAATGTGAATGTAAGTACAAACAAGTACATATTAAAATGTATGTTTAATTTTAGTGTTGTTAAACACTTTAATACAATATTTGTCTTGTGCAGTAGATAGATAATTACTGTTTACTTGCCAAGATGTTAGTCACTGTGATTTTGCGTTGAGATTTTATTTCAAAAGATTATTGTTAGTCTGAACGCCGTTTTAACAGGCTGCTTCTTCCCTGAAGTTAGTAACGTAATTTTTTACAGATCACGATGTATTGTCCATTTTGTGGCGCTACTCTGGAAAGCTGTCCTGCTTTTTGCAGTGCATGTGGTAAAAGCATTAAATTTCTAAAAGATAAAATTCCTGCTGAAAATGAGGCAAGCACGAGTGCAGGTAGGCAACAATACTGCTTGGTGAACTGTCGAGTATAATTTGAGAGATTTCCATGTGACAATGTGTTTGAAGCAGGGAAATCAGAGAGAAGTTCAGTGGATTCCTTCATGAAGTTCAGGGCTTTGAAGGAGAAGGAGAAGGAGAGGAAAACATTCTTTACTAAGAAAAGTCAGGAATCAAAGAAGGATAAAAAAACAGTGAAGGTATCTTTTATATGCCACAATAGGGATGAAGACTATTGTAACTTCCATTTCATAATTACTTTATAGGGTAGTTAGAATTATGATTTCCCCCTAACCCATATTTGTTTCCTATGGAATTCAGTCCAGTTGTGGAATTGAGAAAATAAAGATATCAACTATTTTCAAAAACATGATTATCTTTAAATCTGTCAGTTTTACTTTCATTGAAAAAAAAATAGTTTTTATAAATCAGTTTGTGACAACTTTTTTTTCATTCTTTTCATGTGTAGATTTATGTTGGAGTTATGTGGAGACATGGTGGTGTTCTAAAGCCTATCAGAGGGAAGACCCTGCCTCTTGATGTTCAACCTAATTGGTCATCTGAGCAAATTTTAATTGCAGCTGAAAAGAAAGTAAGAGATTTTAATCAGGATATGGAAGAGGGCCCCTATGTATTGCTGTACCCAGATGGTTCAGAGGTGAAAAACATTCCAGGAACAAACACCCCTTTCAAACTACACCTGTACAAAGAAGCAATTGGAAAGGCTTTTCAAAGAATAGCACTGTTTATAAGCACATTTCAAGACTTTTTAGCCAATGGTAAGCATATTTAATTTAATGAAAATCTTACAAAGACAATGTATAAAACACTATTTACACGAATTGGTTTAAATCAAAGTGAATTTATTACTTTCATTGTTGTTTGAAGACTGCTCTGGGGATTCTTCTAGTAAAGACAGTGAAGTGCAAGTAAAGTCTACATCTCACAGTCCGCATTATGAGAGTGACACTTTGGTGGGTGCATTTAATTGCATGTCTCCTTACATAACATTTAATTTTAACTCATTTTAACAAGTGGCTTTTTTTCTTCTTTTTTTTTTTTTTTTTTTACAGATATGGGATGTTCCAGATGAAGCAAGCACACCAAATGCAGGAAGCACATCAAACAGGTATTAGCATAGTTAACAAGACATTATTTGGAGGTTAGGAGTGGAGTTCACAGTAGTTGTTTTTCAGACCCCCTGATCTCTCTCTGCCTTTTTTGGACCAAGTAAGTTCATAATTGTTCATACCTTGCAAAGTTACTTTGTTACAACAAATGAAAATGTTTATTTTGTCTTTATAATGGTCAGTTATAATGTTATTTTAATAATTGTTATATTTCTGACAAATCTAGGAAGCAGGAAAAAATGGAACAAATATCCAAGAACACAGACATGGCCAACAAAAGTGCTACACGTAAGCTGCTTGTATTACCTCAAAAAGAGTTAAAAAAAATAAATGAATTGCTTTACAAGTAGCCTACAATTACTTTTGTATGTCAATGGATGTACATTCCTGTTAATCTGTCTTTTAACAGCAATTACACACGTCTCTATGCCCCAATAATAATTGAAAGTGACTCGGAAGCGTCCGATGATAGCAGACAACATGTTCAAGAAGAAAGGTACTTAATTTATTAATTACTCCCGTCTCAATATCATGTTCCTAAATGTATTGACTTTTTTTAAATTTCATTATTATTTTGCTTAGCTTAATCAAAACCTCTTTATTTATTACAGCACAGATGTAACAGTGCAGCGCTTCTGTGTCGTACGTCTCACACACACACGTGTGACGTACGACACAGAAGCGCTGCACTGTTACACTACGTGAACTATCTCGAGGCCCACAGAGAAGGAAATGAATAGTTGAATAAAGTCGTTATTTTTATTATTTTTTTGCGCATAAAAAATATTCTCGTCGCTTGATAAACTTAAGATTGAGCCACTGTAGTCACTTAGACTATTTTAACGATGTCTTTAATAACTTTTCTGGGCCGGCAAGTTTCAATCCCTTAGAAGCCTATGGAGGAGTGATCCAGCTCTCAAATGTAATCAAAAATATCTTAATTTTTGTTCCGAAGATGAACGAAAGTCTTACGGGGTTGGAACAACATGAGGGAGAGTAATCACTGACAGAAGTTTCATTTTTGGGTGAACTAACCCTTTAAATGCGGGCCATGTTTTTTAAAGTTATATAGTTCTCCACACCAGTCTCCCAGGTGTGAGGTGTAGTCAGATTGCTTTGAGCGTGCAGTTCTTCAAAGTTTGCCTGAAGCTGTTCATCTTGACATGTACTAAGAGTAGGTTCAATGAAAAACTGGTTCAAGTCTTCCTCTGAGACACGAAATCCGCATTCTCTCCCATTAAACCTTTAAGTGAAAGAGGAAAAAGTTTGGTGTGAAAACTAAATACAAATTAACCTTTATCGCTGTACCTTTAATTATAAAATCTTTTCCCCAAAATAAAACTGTCTACTAAACTTCATCAATCCAAAGTTGAATGACTTTCTTCTGTGGAATAGAATGTTAGCCACAATCTCCTTTCAGTTTAATTTTACAGAAGAACACAATTAAAGTAAACTGAGTGAGACTAACATTGTGTATCATATCAAATATTTTTGTTATATGGAAGTAAGACATATGGCTTTAGAACAACATTATGGTGAGCTTGAAGTTGTATGTTAAATATAATTTTAACAATTCGATTACAAAATGCAAATAAGTTAAATATTTAATAGTCATATTCTGACCTGTGTGGAAGAGCGTACATTGCATCTGGTTTACCAGAAGGACAGCGAGACTGTTTAACTGCCCTAATGGTGTGAGTGTTCCAAATTTCTTTGCATTCATTAAGGTCCATCTGTAGCACACTTAAAAACACAAAACGCACCAAGCATATCAATCAATCAATCAATCAAATTTTATTTTTATAGCGCCTTACAACAGCCAAAAGGTGCATAAGGCGCTTTCCAGTAAAAGCATCAATAGACAAAAAAAAAAAAAAAAAAAAAAAAAAAAAAAAAAAAAAATATCAGCCAGAGTCGGAGATTACATGTTAAAAGCTTGTCTGAACAGATGTGTTTTTAACTGCGACTTAAAAGCACTCAACACGGTGATGCTTCGTAGGAGTGTTGGTAAAGCGTTCCACAGTTTAGGGCCCTGGACAGCAAATGACCGGCCCCCAAACTTTTTATATTTAAATTTGGGAATGACCAAATAGGTGTGTTCAGATGAGCGGAGAGTTCTGGGTGGATGATAGACCGTTACTAAATCGGCGAGGTAGACCGGGGCCAGACCATTGATGGCCTTGAACACGAACAGCAGGACCTTATACTCCACCCTAAACCGTATCGGGAGCCAGTGGAGCGAGCGGAGGACGGGGGTGATGTGCGAGCGTTTGGAGGTGTTAGTGAGGAGCCGTGCTGCCGCGTTTTGAACCAGTTGAAGCCGATTAAGAAATTATTGATTAAGTCCAGTGTAGAGGGCATTACAGTAGTCTATCCTCGAGCTGATAAAGGCATGAATGACTTTTTCAAGGTCAGCTCGGGACAAGAATGGTTTGACCTTACTGAGAAGCCTTAGCTGGTAAAAGCTCGCCTTAACAACAGCACTAATCTGTTTGTCGTACTGCAAATTTTTGTCAAAAATTACACCCAAGTTACGTGCAGTGGGTGCAAACTGAGGTGTTAGAGGACCAAAACTGAAAGAACTATTGGGCGAGTCAGGGCTGAACAGGATGTACTCCGTCTTTCCTTCATTCAAATGAAGGAAATTCTGGGAAAGCCACTGCTTAATGTCCCTAAGGCAGTTATAGAGGGGGTCTATATAAGTAGGAGTGTTCATCAGTCATCAGTCATGAACACACCATATGTGTTCATGACTGCCATTAAAGAGTTGCCTCTCTTTCAAGTCATTCAGAAGATCCATCCAGAACTGAGTCCTGTGTAAATAAACCAACAATATCAACATCCCTTTTAGACGTTTAGGCCCGGTTTCACAGACAGGTCTTAGAATAAGCCAGGATTAGGCCTTAGTTCACTTAGGGCATTTAAGTAGCTTTTATAAACACGTCGCAGAACAAAAACATTACTGGTGTACATCTTGTGACAAAACAATGGCACTGACATTTTTTAAGATCCTGGCAGTGCAAGTTGCTCTCATTTAAAACAGCTCAAACATGCATTTTAGTCTAGGACAAGCCTTGTCTGTGAAGCTGAGAATTAATTTAATAGGTTATTTTCTAATGTATAATTGATTATTAAACTAAAATTCAGCAAGAAAACCCCTAAATATCATGACTGTTTAGACTATTATACCTTTGTTTTCTGAAGTATGACCACCAGCTTTCAATTCGTTGGTTTGTGATTGAGGAGCCATACATGTGGCTTGAAGCCCCTGCAAGGTCATCTGTGTGGACTGATCTCAGACCGATCTCTCTAATTTGTCATAGCCATCAATGTGCCAGACATGATTTGGCCCCAAAGAATGGTAAACCCTTCTCACAAATCTTCTTCTTGAGCGTTGTTCAATGCCTAATGGATCAAGGTCTGCAATCATAAGCATTACATCTTGCCTTCTCACTGTAAGATTGTATTTTTGACGCAGGGTCTGGCACATTGTGCGGTAACCATAATGCTGTCCAGAACCATTCAACTCGCCAATAATAGCTGTCCGGACAGTGTCCAAAGGCGAGTAGTTTTTTCGTTTGTACAAGGACAGTCTGTTCAAATTTTTTTTTAGGGTACGAAGGCTCATTTTAATGTTGTGCTTCGATGCCAAGAAATCCACAATGACACTGTAACTGTGTCCATCTCTGAAGTACTTTCGAAGAAGATCATCCTCACAAACATGGACTGATGACTCTAACCATCAAAGGATTCAATATAATAGAAAGGGTATTATTAAGTAACAACTTTAATTGGTAGAAACATCTGACTCAGAATTTAGTTAGTAAACTTAGTGTGCTCAAATAACAGTAACTTAAGGTTTAGACTTAAACTTAAGGTTCTAAGGCAGACTTAACGCATACATACCACGTTCAACCTCTTCAGACAAAAACTGGACATTAAAGCCACACGAGCTGCAAAAGGCTGTAATAGTTCTCAGATCGTTTCCACAGAATGGACAAAACATGCCAGCCTAGGAAGACAATGGTTGAAATGATAACATTTCAGCAAACTATCAGGGTGTTCATGAAACAAAAGCAGAGCTAAATTGTCTAAATCGAAAGTAGTTTATTCTGCTCGATTCAGTTAAAAATATTTTGTTAATTTAAAAAATAAATTACACAGATTAATATGCCATCACTTACACAGATAATCTCTTGTCGTGTCCCGATCAAAGACAGTAAAAGAAAGGTCCCGATTGCACGATTCGACTCCTGAGGAAATATCTATCTATCGGCTTTTTAGTGCCGACGCTGCCCCCTAGTGGTTGGGATCATTTCCGTTGTGTTGTGGCTTGTTTCCGTTGTGTTGTGAACTTTTGTTTGCTTTTTGAATTTCGTTGTGTTGTGCACTACTGGGCCACCGTACATACTAACTGGTGATAAAGAACTACCAAAACAGTCATTTTAATCAAACCCATTCTATAACACAAACTGAGCCACTAAGACAACCAATTCAACTGCAAAAGCTAAAGTTTCAAACCAAATATGTCTTTTAAAACCAAACAGAAAACCATTTGTACCACCTGGATGACTCGTTAACTCATTATTAAGGCTAATCTGCTAATTAATGAGATCAATAATTAATTAATCACCCAGCATACTAGCTGATGTCATATCCCATAGAACTTAGGGGGTGTTTACATGATACCGTTTTCTTAAACTAAAAACCTTTTATGCGTTTTGGCCGTTCGTTTACACAACAAAGGAGTTTTGGGTTCGCCACTGTAAAGTAACGCTATCAAAGTATCGCGAAATCAAGAGTCTTTCTCGAGGCAAAGGCCAAGAGGAAGAACACGGCTTTGTTGCCTATAAAGTGGATGAGTTTCAAACACTGCTGCTTTTACATGAATAATGATTACATTAAAGTATTCCAGTCTATTATTAAATTCAGCCAAAATGTATGTCTTCCATATCTGATTTTTACAACGACATGAAGGTTAGTAATTGATGAGTTTTTATTTTTGAGAAAGATCCCTTTAAATCTGATTAAGACAAGTCACATAGGTTGCAAATGAGATTAATAATACTAAAGTAATATATAATATTGTAAAATGTATTGTGGCCATCTGGTGGTCAAACGGATGAACAGCATCTAAACCAGTCTGTGCCTGGAAGTGCAACTGATTTTTTTTTTTTTTTTTTTTTTTTTTTTTATATGTAGAAACAATAAATTACTACTAAACTACAGTGAATATATCAGTGTATAAGGATAAAATTGTCTTGAATTTTTTTCCCCTTCATATAAAGTTTCAAATAAGTCAGGTCTTTTTATGTGAGTACAGGAAACATAAACAAATGTTTGTATAGTCAAGAAAACCCCCCACAGAATCCAGTTATTTGCAAATATAATCATTTATATGTGGAATGATTCACATCCGAAATACACCATAAACATTTAATTTCTCAGAAACACCACAAACTACGAAATACATGGAAACAAAAGGAGAAACAGGACTGAGCTTTTAAATTGCCTGATAAATGTATAATAAGCATTTTAATAGCAACAACAAAGAAAAGTTCAAAAGCACATACAGTAACATCAATCGGCAAATGTTAACCAGTTAATTTTACTGGTTATATTTGGTCACAGCAGCCCAGCCTGTGTGGAAGCGGATCCAGTCGAAATAATGAGCCACTTTTGTGTAGACCCCAGGATTATTGGGTTCGCCACATTTTTCACCCCAGCTCACTATTCCCCACACGTACGACACGCCAGAAGCGTCTTTGCACACCAGCGGCCCTCCAGAGTCGCCCTGACACGAGTCCACCTTCCCCTCCAGGTCACCTGACACAGAGCACAGCCAATGAGAGACCAGGAACGGGTGAACCAAGAGTCACTAAGCACATGCCACTGTTCCGTTAATTAAACTTAAACATTACTTACAGAAGTGCAGGCCTACAGTACACCTTCATATAATATAACTTATCTGCTGAATTACAGTTGGTTTTGAAACATTTTCACTCAGAAATTGCTAGTAAATTTGCAAAGAATGGCAAGTAACACGTTGAATTAATTGTGAAATTTTGAAGGAGAAAGAAGTTTATGGGCTCTGAAAATTATCTCTGAGTTTCCCAATCATAAGTACGATTTGAAAGGCCGTTCATGTCTAATTTCCTGATGAGGAAACTTGTATTTACGATGATTCTGATAGCATGTGAAGGCAGTATTATATTCTGCGTATGATTACAAATTTGAGTGTTTAGTCAAACACACACAATCACACACACACGCGCACGCACGCACGCACGCACGCACACACACACACACACACACACACACACACTCTCTCTCACACACACACACACATACCTGCACACTCCATTCCAGGGAGGAAACGGTCCTTGTAATAATTCTTGCAGTCACTGATAATCGTCACATTTGCCCATTTTAGAATCCCTGCTGACATTCCCGCTTTAAACAAACAGACATAGAGACAATAAAACCCCAACTGTAACCCCACTGGATTAAAAAAACTTTCAGATTAAAATAATCTAAAACCCTGTTCACATCAATAACGATAATATTAAATAATATAATTTTAAAGGGATAGTTCACCCAAAAATGAAAATTAGCCCATGATTTACTCACCCTCAAGTCATCCTAGGTGTGTATGACACTCTTCTTTCAGACGAATACAATCAGAGTTATATTAAAAAATGTCCTGTCTCTTCCAAGCTTTATAATGGCAGTGGATGGCCGTTTCTGTTTTGAAGTCCATCAAAGTTTATCTATCCATCATAAAAGTGCATCTATCCATGATAAAAGTGCATCTGTCCATCATAAAAGTGCATCTATCCATGATAAAAGTGCATCTATCCATCATAAAAGTGCATCTATCCATCATAAAAGTGCATCTATGATAAAAGTGCATCTATCCATCATAAAAGTGCATCTATCCATCATAAAAGTGCATCTATCCATGATAAAAGTACATCTATCCATCATAAAAGTGCATCTATCCATCATAAAAGTGCATCTATCCATGATAAAAGTGCATCTATCCATGATAAAAGTGCATCTATCCATCATAAAGTGCATCTATCCATCATAAAAAGTGCATCTATCCATCATAAAAGTGCATCTATCCATCATAAAAGTGCATCTATCCAGTGCATCTATCCATGATAAAAGTGCATCTATCCATCATAAAAGTGCATCTATCCATCATAAAAGTGCATCTATCCATGATAAAAGTGCATCTATCCATCATAAAAGTGCGTCTATCCATCATAAAAGTGCATCTATCCATCATAAAAGTGCATCTATCCATCATAAAAGTGCATCTATCCATCATAAAAGTGCATCCATCCATCATAAAAGAGCATCTATCCATCATAAAAGAGCATCTATCCATCATAAAAGTGCATCTATCCATCATAAAAGAGCATCTGTCCATCATAAAAGTGCATCTATCCATCATAAAAGTGCATCTATCCATCATAAAAGTGCATCTATCCATCATAAAAGAGCATCTATCCATCATAAAAGTGCGTCTATCCATCATAAAAGAGCATCTATCCATCATAAAAGTGCATCTATCCATCATAAAAGTGCATCTGTCCATCATAAAAGTGCATCTATCATCATAAAAGTGCATCTGTCCATCATAAAAGTGCATCTATCCATCATAAAAGTGCATCTATCCATCATAAAAGAGCATCTGTCCATCATAAAAGAGCATCTATCCATCATAAAAGTGCATCTATCATCATAAAAGTGGATCTATCCATCATAAAAGTGCATCTATCCATCATAAAAGTGGATCTATCCATCATAAAAGTGCATCTATCCATCATAAAAGTGCATCTATCCATCATAAAAGTGCATCTGTCCATCATAAAAGTGCATCTATCCATCATAAAAGTGCATCTATCCATCATAAAAGTGCATCTATCCATCATAAAAGTGCATCTATCCATCATAAAAGTGCATCTGTCCATCATAAAAGTGCATCTATCCATCATAAAAGTGCATCTATCCATCATAAAAGTGCATCTATCCATCATAAAAGTGCATCTGTCCATCATAAAAGAGCATCTGACCATCATAAAAGTGCATCTGTCCATCATAAAAGTGCATCTATCCATCATAAAAGTGCATCTGTCCATCATAAAAGTGCATCTATCCATCATAAAAGTGCATCTATCCATCATAAAAATGCATCTGTCCATCATAAAAGTGCATCTATCCATCATAAAAGTGCATCTATCCATCATAAAAGAGCATCTATCCATCATAAAAGTGCATCTATCCATCATAAAAGAGCATCTGACCATCAAAAAAGTGCGTCTATCCATCATAAAAGTGCATCTATCCATCATAAAAGAGCGTCTATCCATCATAAAAGTGCGTCTATCCATCATAAAAGTCCATCTATCCATCATAAAAGAGCATCTATCCATCATAAAAGTGCATCTATCCATCATAAAAGTGCATCTATCCATCATAAAAGTGCATCTATCCATCATAAAAGAGCATCTATCCATCATAAAAGTGCATCTATCCATCATAAAAGAGCATCTATCCATCATAAAAGTGCATCTATCCATCATAAAAGTGCATCTATCATCATAAAAGTGGATCTATCCATCATAAAAGAGCATCTATCCATCATAAAAGTGCATCTATCCATCATAAAAGTGCATCTATCATCATAAAAGTGGATCTATCCATCATAAAAGTGCATCTATCCATCATAAAAGTGCATCTATCCATCATAAAAGTGCATTTATCCATCATAAAAGTGGATCTATCCATCATAAAAGTGCATCTATCCATCATAAAAGTGCATCTATCCATCATAAAAGTTCATCTGTCCATCATAAAAGTGCATCTGTCCATCATAAAAGTGCATCCATCCATCATAAAAGTGCATCTATCCATCATAAAAGTGCATCTATCATCATAAGTGCATCTATCCATCATAAAAGTGCATCTATCCATCATAAAAGTGCATCTGTCCATCATAAAAGTGCATCTATCATAAAAGTGCATCTGTCCATCATAAAAGTGCATCTGTCCATTATAAAAGTGCATCTGTCCATCATAAAAGTGCATCTGTCCATCATAAAAGTGCATCTGTCCATCATAAAAGTGCATCTATCCATCATAAAAGTGCATCTATCCATCATAAAAGTGCATCTGTCCATCATAAAAGTGCATCTATCCATCATAAAAGTGCATCTATCCATCATAAAAGTGCATCTATCCATCATAAAAGTGCATCTGTCCATCATAAAAGTGCATCTATCCATCATAAAAGTGGATCTATCCATCATAAAAGTGCATCTATCCATCATAAAAGTGCATCTATCCATCATAAAAGTGCATCAATCCATCATAAAAGTGCATCTGTCCATCATAAAAGTGCATCTGTCCATCATAAAAGTGCATCTGTCCATCATAAAAGTGCATCTGTCCATCATAAAAGTGCATCCATCCATCATAAAAGTGCATCTGTCCATCATAAAAGAGCATCTGTCCATCATAAAAGTGCATCTGTCCATCATAAAAGTGCATCTATCATCATAAAAGTGCATCTATCCATCATAAAAGTGCATCTGTCCATCATAAAAGTGCATCTATCCATCATAAAAGTGCATCTATCCATCATAAAAGTGCATCTATCCATCATAAAAGTGCATCCATCCATCATAAAAGTGCATCCATCCATCATAAAAGTGCATCTATCCATCATAAAAGTGCATCTATCCATCATAAAAGTGCATCTATCCATCATAAAAGTGCATCTATCATCATAAAAGTGCATCTATCCATCATAAAAGTGCATCTATCATCATAAAAGTGCATCTATCCATCATAAAAGTGCATCTATCCATCATAAAAGTGCATCTATCCATCATAAAAGTGCATCTATCCATCATAAAAGTGCATCTGTCCATCATAAAAGTGCATCTATCATAAAAGTGCATCTATCATAAAAGTGCATCTGTCCATCATAAAAGTGCATCTGTCCATCATAAAAGTGCATCTATCCATCATAAAAGTGCATCTATCCATCATAAAAGTGCATCTGTCCATCATAAAAGTGCATCTGTCCATCATAAAAGTGCATCTGTCCATCATAAAAGTGCATCTATCCATCATGAAAGTGCATCTATCCATCATGAAAGTGCATCTGTACATCATAAAAGTGCATCTGTCCATCATGAAATGCACTTTTATGATGGATAGATGCACTTTTATGGACTTTCTCCATTATAAAGCTTGGAAGAGACAGGACATTTTTTAATATAACTCTGATTGTGTTCGTCTGAAAGAAGAATGTCATACACACCTAAGATGACTTAAGGGGGAGCAAATGATGGGCTAATTTTTCATGTTTGGGTGAACTATTCCAAAATGAAAACAGAATGAATGGATTAAAACTAGATTGGTAAAAGGATCCCATGATGGCGGTTCCCCATGTCAGGTGTAGCCGAACCTCTGTCGCGGCCCCAGCCGGAGATGGTGCAGGTGTCGTTGGGCTGGAACTGTTGTGTGGACCAGGGCACACACACGGCTCGCACCGCCGGGTTATCCTTCATACACTTGTCCGAAAGATTCAGCGGCTCCAGCTGCACCAGAGCGATGTCGTTGGCGTAGGTTTGTGCGTTATATTCATGATGGATGATGATGTTCTTCACCGGGATGCTGTCTGTCGTCGACAGCATTTGATGCTTCTTCCAGAGAGAGAACTTGATTCGGTAGGACTTTGGTTTGGGCCTAAACACACGACACGCAAATGCACAACCGTTTCTCAGTAGCTGTTCTGTACAGGTTGATCAAAACGTGTGCCGTAAAACACTGCTTCATGAAGCTTCGAAGCCTTTACGGATCTTTTGTTCCGAATCAATGGTTCGGAGAGTGTATCAAACTGCCAGAGTCACAAGACTTCAGTAAACGAGGCTTCATTACGTCATAACTGTTTCGAAACCCTTCTAAATTTCAATGGTTCACCGCTGGGGGCGATGATTTCTGAGTCACTGAGAACCAATGAACAAGTGTCTGTGGGTTTTAGACATTAGTATAATTAAAATGAATAATGGTAGTTAATAGCCTCTTATTGGCCTGTTTAGCAGAGCCATTCATAAAACAAACCCTGACCATTGATAAGAGAACACATAGACACTCAATAATCTTATAAGATGATTAAATAATTACATTTGAAAGATTTTACTTTCATTAAAAAATGTGCATTAGATTTGTAAAAGGTTTTTTTATGCATGTTTGGCCGGGGGTTTTGTTGCATTTACACTGTTCTGACCACTAGGGGTCACCGTGTTGGATTGTTTCGAAGCCTCGACTCAATACGGCACATTTGCTTCCACTGTTTCAGTGTTCCACGAAGCCTCGATCTGCACACCACTAACGATTGGTTGTACCTGACGCAGTGGGCGGCGGTCAAAACCCAGCAGCCGCCCAGATACGCCCCTCCACAGTGGATCGAGCCTTCGTCCTGAATGGCCACCTGCCACTGTATCTGGGTCTGCAGGGGCAAAGGTCACACACAGAGGTCAAACCAAAACAAAGAGGCATTTTTTTTATGCTAAGTGAAATTTTGACAATTTACTGATGAAGCTACATTGTTAATATTGTACAAGCAAATGAGCTAACTATATTAGCATCCACACCAGCGGATGATAACTACAATGGTAACTATAACGATAACTATAACGATAACTGTATTAGCATTCATACCGGCAGACGATAACTATATTAACGTCTCCACCAGTGGACGATAACTATATTAGCATCCACACCAGCGGACGATAACTATAACGAAAACTCTATTAGCATTCATACCGGCGGACGATAACTATAACGATAACTATATTAAAGTCTCCACCAGTGGACGATAACTATATTAGCATCCACACCAGTGGATGATAACTGTAATGATAAATATAATGATAACTATATTAGCATTCACACCAGCGGACGATAACTATAACTATAACGATAACTATATTAGCATCCGCACCAGCGGGCAATAAGTATAATGATAACTATAATGATAACTGTATTAGCATTCACACAAGAGGACGATAACAATAAGAATAACTATATTAACGTCTCCACCAGCGGACGATAACTATAACCATAACTATATTAGCATCCACACCAGCAGACGATAACTATAACGATAACTATATTAACGTCTCCACCAGCAGACGATAACTATAACGATAACTATATTAGCATCCACACCAGCGGACGATAACTATTACGATAACTATATTAACGTCTCCATCAGCGGATGATAACTATAACGATAACTATATTAGCATCCACACCAGCGGACGATAACTATTACGATAACTATATTAACGTCTCCACCAGAGGACGATAACTATAACGATAACTATATTAAAGTCTCCACCAGTGGACGATAACTATATTAGCATCCAAACCAGTGGATGATAACTATAATGATAACTATAATGATAACTGCATTAGCATTCACACAAGAGGACGATAACAATAACAATAACTATATTAACGTCTCCACCAGAGGACGATAACTATAACGATAACTATATTAGCATCCACACCAGCGGACGATAACTATAACGATAACTATATTAGCGTCTCCACCAGCAGACGATAACTATAACGATAACTATATTAGCATCCACACCAGCGGACGATAACTATTACGATAACTATATTAACGTCTCCACCAGCGGATGATAACTATAACGATAACTATATTAGCATCCACACCAGCGGACGATAACAATAACGATAACTACATTAACGTCTCCACCAGTGGACGATAACAACAACGATAACTATATTAGCATTCACACCAGCGGACGATAACTATAACGATAACTATATTAACGTCTCCACCAGCGGATGATAACTATAACGATAACTATATTAGCATCCACACCAGCGGACGATAACTATAACGATAACTCTATTAGCATTCATACCGGCGGACGATAACTATTACGATAACTATATTAAAGTCTCCACCAGTGGACGATAACTATATTAGCATCCACACCAGCGGACGATAACTATTACAATAACTATATTAACGTCTCCACCAGCGGACGATAACTATAATGATAACTATATTAGCATCCACACCAGCGGACAATAACTATAACGATAACTATATTAACGTCTCCACCAGTGGATGATAACTATAACGATAATTAGGGGTGCACGATTAATCGAAATGAAACCGCGCGCGATTATTATAAGGCTGCGATTATTTTATGCGCAGCTTGTCAGTGAAGCACGGCTCTGTGATCAGTGGTAAATGCTGACTGGGAACTTTCCCCTGAACATTCTGGCAAGTTACGAACAAACATCCCCCCAGTAACATTCGTTCAAAGTTATCTATTCTTTAATAATGTTCTCAAAACATTTCTCATTTCTCATTGTTATTAAAAAAATAAGACCAAATTACAAACAATAGGACAAACAAGTATAAACAGTTTTAAGTTATTAGGTCCATCTAGCATAAAAGTATGAAATACTATAGTAAATTAATAATAAAATGTACTCTGCACAGTCTTAACTGTATGAATTAAAAATTGATTCTTATTAAAGCTACTAAAGTAATTCAGCCAAGAGCCGAGCTTTTTACAGCCAATATTTGACCTTTAAAGAGAATTCCGATTCACGATCACTTCAAAATGTCCATGTTACGAATTGCGTGGAAGCAAAGGCGGTAGTCGGATCTAAATGCAGCAGTAGACTTTAATAATGCAGACTCGGGTAAACTCAGAACAGCCAAGACACTTTGTAAATACATTCAATAACTGACAAAGACAGGGCAGAAACACAGGGCTTAAATAATCAGAGACAAACGAGCAGACAGGATAACAAGGGGGCGTGGATAACAAGAAACACCTGGGATAACTAATGACAAGACACTAATGACACTAAACATGACAGGACACAAGACCCACATTATGACAGTCCAAATGTTTTAAAAAACGTTAGTCTTGGTTATGCGAACGTTAGGGGAACATTCCATTTTGTAAATATTATGGGATAATGGGATTTTCTGAAACATGCTAAAGCGATTCAGAAAAAAAAACATTCCTTGAACGATGTATAAATAATGTTTTTGTGAACATTATAAAAGACCAGATAACTTTGAACAAACGTTCTATTAACGTTACTGGAAGAACGTTTGTTCCTAACCTTGCCAAGCTCTGAGAACATTAGCGGGTCAATATGTGTTCAGTTGTAAAACGATTTTAAAACCTATTGAAGTTTTTGTGTCACTTTGCACCAAAACAGATTGTTTGTATCTTTATTTGTGGATAGTTACGTGTTTGCATATTAAATAAAACACTATATAAAAGTATGATCAGAAGCTTGTATGCTTTATCAACTGAATCAAAGGTTTTGTTCTTTGGCAATCTGGAGTCTTGCACATCTTTATAAAGGAAGAGATATATATATATCATCCAGCCAGCCCTGGTGTCTCTGAGGGTGTGTGTTTCACGACTGACCGGTAACGCCTCTTCCCCTCCGACTAAGCGTTTTGTGCGTTGACGTAGAGTCGCGTTTTGTTTGAACTCGTACTCCATGTTGGGAACGCCACACTGCAGCTGGCTCTCGGTGGACGAGCGGATCGCTCTGATCTCTGGAACAGCAGGACACACAGATGTGTTGATTCAGCCGAATGAAGCTCCGGACACATCCACATTTGCCCAGCTAACAAAGAAATTCTAAGAATGTTTTGCAAACATTCCCATTAAGTTACAAAACTTTATTTCTGAATGTTCCCTGAATGTTCAAAATGTCCAACTTTTTCTTGGTTCTGTGAACGTTAAGGAAACATTCCATTGTATCATTCTTCAAACATTATGGGAACGTTACTTTTGAATGTTCTCTGAAGGTTTTGAAACAAATAGAAACATTAAAAAACGTTAGACGAACATCCAACTAAAACATTTCAGAGAAAACATCCCTTGAATGAAGTATAAATAATGTTCTGTAACGTTTTGAGATCATTATTGAAGACCAGATTACTTTGCGCAAACGTTCTATTATCGTAACTGGAAGAACGTTTGTTCATAACGTTGAAAGAGCCTTGACAGAAGGTTGCCTGACGGCCCAGATCCGGCCCACATCTGGTACGCATTGAATCCACATGTACCGGATGTGGCCCGGATGTGGCCCGGATGTGGCCCGGATGTGGCCCGGATGTTGCCCGACATTATGTTGCTGTCTGATCTTCTGGAGGTTTTTGTTTGCTGAAGTGTCAGACTTTGAATGTTCAGTGTCATAAGAGTTTGTTCTCACCCGACATTGGATCGGAAAACAAATCTGATGGTTTAATTTCCACTGGTTTGGGGTTTTCTGAAACACAAAGAAGAGAACAGGAGATTACAGTAACAGAGATTGTTTAGGCTTTACAGCAGCTCTAGAATAAAGTTATTGTCCAGCTAAAGTTAGTTTTGATTGATTCACTTCCGTTGCAAAGATCATTAGTTATTATCTTAGCGGCCGCTAACACGACACCGCTCTACTGAAAACTGTGTGTTGGGATGCTCATGGAAGCTTGTTTCGGCCACGGAATGAAAAACAAAAAGGTGAGATATAAACTCGCAACTGCAAGAAGGAAGTCCAAATTGTGAGATAAAATTCATGATTATGTTTTTTATTTCCTGCAGCACAGAACCACGTTGAAACAAATGTTGTGGTGTTCAATGAAAGTTGAAGCTTTTTGAAACATACATCTCAATCACAGACGCATTCAGATGGGTTTTGATTTCTCACAGGACGGCAGGGATGAAAAACAGTAAGTCAAGTCATTTGTACAATATTTGCTTGTATATCAAATTGCGTGAAGAAAAATGTGGTTTGAATGTTTTGAAATCCAGTCTAAGAAGAGACGCTTGTTCTCGAACTGAATCCTGAAGTAATAAGATCTTCAATGAGTTCACTGACCATCCAGTTCATCTTCTCCTCCCAGACAGTCCCTGACTCCGTCTCGGACAGCATCGAGAGGGATACAGACGTCCGACTTACAGTGGAACGCTCCGTTGCATCCTTCACAACACAAACGGGAATATTAGGATAGTCTTGCGTTTTTAATACTGCGAGGTGTTCTTGCATTTTTATAATTAGTAACACAGTCACAAATGTAATGCTTTTCACAAAAAAATAAATAGTGCTTTATTCAGAAACAGCCAACAACAGATGGGATTGTGGGAAACAGGAAGAGGAATGATGATGTCAGAGACAGGAAGTAGAGACTCACTCTGGCAGCACATCTCGTCACTGTAGTCTCCACAGTCATCAATGCCATTACAGGCTTTTCCTTGGTTTATACACTTCCCGTTCGTACAGAGGAACTTCTTGCACTCGCCTACACCTACACAGGGATTAAACATCAGTGTGTGTGTGAGTGTGTGTGTGAAGGGTCAGCAGATTATAACCCAATACTGGGGTGGTCGATCATGCAGTAACATGGTTACACAGAAAATAATGCTCACCTTTTCAATATTTTTTTGGGGGGTTTTTTTTGCTGAAGATGCATCGATGCATATTAAGTCACTTTTATGTCAGATAATAGATAACTATAGAAGCGATTTTTTTTTTTTTATCTTGCAATTCGTATATATTCATATATAGGCAGTCGGCTGTATGCGGGCTGAAATGCCTTTGGTCCCTGCAGGGGTTGATAAAGGCCTTCTGAACCCAAGACAAATATCCATATTTTTTACTTTATAAACTATAATCACTGGCTTCCAGTAACGGATATACGCAAGTCTAGTTCCGGTGGAAGAGTGACCTCTGACCCAACGCATGACGATTGACCTCTGACCCGACACATGACGAGTGACCTCTGACCCAACACATGACGAGTGACCTCTGACCCGACACATGACGAGTGACCTCTGACCCAACACATGACGAGTGACCTCTGACCCAACACATGACGATTGACCTCTGACCCGACACATGACGAGTGACCTCTGACCCAACACATGACGAGTGACCTCTGACCCAACACATGACGAGTGACCTCTGACCCGACACATGACGAGTGACCTCTGACCCAACACATGACGAGTGACCTCTGACCCAACACATGACGAGTGACCTCTGACCCGACACATGACGAGTGACCTCTGACCCAACACATGACGAGTGACCTCTGACCCAACACATGACGATTGACCTCTGACCCGACACATGACGAGTGACCTCTGACCCAACACATGACGAGTGACCTCTGACCCAACACATGACGATTGACCTCTGACCCGACACATGACGAGTGACCTCTGACCCAACACATGACGAGTGACCTCTGACCCAACACATGACGAGTGACCTCTGACCCAACGCATGACGATTGACCTCTGACCCGACACATGACGAGTGACCTCTGACCCAACACATGACGAGTGACCTCTGACCCGACACATGACGAGTGACCTCTGACCCGACACATGACGAGTGACCTCTGACCCGACACATGACGAGTGACCTCTGACCCAACACATGACGAGTGACCTCTGACCCGACACATGACGAGTGACCTCTGACCCGACACATGATGAGTGACCTCTGACCCAACACATGACGAGTGACCTCTGACCCAACACATGACGAGTGACCTCTGACCCGACCCATGAAGAGTGACCTCTGACCCGACGCATGATGAGTGACCTCTGACCCGACGCATGATAAGTGACCTCTGACCCGACACATGAAGACTGGCCTCTGACGCAACACATGAAGACTGACATCTGACCATTCCCTGCCATTATAAAGCTTGGAAGAGCCAGGATATGTTCTAATTTAACTCTGATTGTGTTCGGCTGAAAGAAGTCGAAGCTCAGGATACTTTGAGGGTGAGTAAATTATGGGATAATTGAAATTTTTGGGTGAACTATCCCTTCAAATTAGGATGTTTAATTTTCCTTAAAAAGCACCTTTGGGATTGTAACACTTTACGACGGCCACATCAGTGCTTTCTGTGATTGGCTGGGGATTATAGATGGTGCACTCAGCCAATGAGAGCTCAGATCCCGTGCAGCGAACACTCATGCACTCCTCTGGCCAATCAGACGCTTTGTCAATTTGCGAATGCTTGATTGTAGTCGCCGTCTCCGCTCCTCTGAAACACAGACAGAAACATGAAACATGTGAAAAACATGTTTAATAAACACACATCCGAAACCTGTGGAGTCGAGAGGATTCTCGTGTAGTGATGAGTGTGTGTTACCTGGGCTCTTTCTGAGGGTTTCGGCAAACGACATTAGCTGACGCCATATTCCAGCCGTTGCCACATACAGGCATCGTTCCCTTCGCCGTTTTTATCATGACCACATTATGCTTTTTAGATTTCCTAAGATGTACCTCCACCTTCTCCTCCGCTGGACACAAACATGTGCAAACAAACAGGTGACGACTTTATAATCACACACCAAATCATCGGACTCTTACCTTGAGTTCCCGTCAGTTTGACCCTTATGGAAGTAAAATAATGACAAATGTTTTTGAAACAAAAAGCCTGTTGAATTGTACTACTTGAAAAAAATATGCATTGCATTTACCCTGCTTGTATTTTAATGCAGTGTATTTTTAGGGCTTGCATTTTTATGGGCTGAAATTTAGCATGGTTGAATATTTAAGCTGTGAATATTTAAATTCAAAACATTTCAAACACATTTTCATTATTAAAAATTCAATAATCAATGCAAAAACAATTATTTAAACAATAATTGAATGCAATTTAAGCCCTCTAAATCAAGAAGCATCTCGATAGTTAAAGGAAAGGTAGTAGATAAAACATTCTTCATTAATGGTGAGGCAATACCAACAGTTTCTGAGAAGCCAGTGAAGAGTCTTGGGAGATGGTACAATGGGGATCTAAAAGACACAGTTCGGGTGGGAGAAGTTAGACGACAAGCAGTGGAAGGCTTGAAGAGCATAAACAGCTGTGCTCTACCTGGCAAACTAAAACTCTGGTGCTTTCAGTTTGGTCTACTGCCGAGGTTGCTGTGGCCACTGACTGTGTACGAGGTTTCTTTGATAACAGTGGATAAGCTGGAAGCGTTGATAAGTTCATACATCAGGAAATGGTTGGGAGTTCCACGCTGCCTCAGCAGAGTGGGACTTTATAGTAAAGGAATATTGCAGCTGCCAGTCTCTGCTTTAACCGAGGAGTTTAAGTGTGACAAGGTCAGACTGGAAAGTACCTTAGTAGAGTCACACGACAAATGTGTAAGGGAGGCAGCCCCTGTGTTAAAAACTGGTAGAAAGTGGTCAGCAAAGAAATCTGTAGTAGAGGCAAAGGCTGACCTTCAAATTGGGGATATCGTGGGACAGGTACAGCATGGAAGAGGGGGTTTTGGGCTCAGTTTAGCTCCTCCTAAATGGCACAAGGCAGGCCCAGCTCAAAGGAGGAAGCTGGTAGTCAACGAGGTGCGACAGCAGGAGGAGAGGATGAGGTGTATAAAGGCCATTTTCCAGGCCAAGCAGGGAGAGTGGATGAGAACGCAAGATGGGCTGGCAAGACCTTTGGTCAATGGAAGAGAGTAGGATCAGTTTCCTTATTAGGTCAACATATGATGTTCTCCCATCACCGCAGAAACTAAACCTCTTGGTAGGAGAGGATCCCTCTTGTCCTTTGTGTTCATCACCTGCCACATTAAGGCACATTTTGACAGGATGTAAGGTGGCTCTTAGCCAAGGTCGGTTTACTTGGCGCCATGACCAAGTACTGCGATGTTTGGCTTTAGCATTAGAAGGCAAGCATAACATGACCAATAAGTTGCCGCCTGTTCTAGCAAAACATTACACGCAGAAGACAATATTCCTCCGCCCAGGCGAGCAACCACCAAGAAAAGGTGTTAACACCAATTCTCGCCCAGGACAACTGGAAGCTGCTAGGGACTGGAAGATGCTGGCTGATCTTGATAAACGGCTTATTTTTCCACCTGAGATTGCCACCACTAACCTACGACCAGATATTGTTTTGTGGTCTGGATCAGCACGCATTGTTCAACTGATAGAGTTAACAGTGCCATGGGAGGATGCGGTAGATGAGGCATATGAGAGGAAGAAACTGCGGTATGCTCATCTGGCCACTGAAGCAGAACAGCGAGGATGGAGAGTCCAGGTTTACCCAGTGGAAGTGGGTTGTCGAGGTTTTGTGGCACACTCTACAACCCGGTTCCTCAGAGATGTCGGATTCAGCGGCCAAGAGTTGCGTCGCACAGTAAATAACTTATCTGAAGCAGCAGAAAGGAGCAGCAACTGGCTGTGGTTGAGACAGAAAGATTCTAGTTGGCTGTGTACAGGCCACCACGCTACGGTTTCGCAGAATTCTTGAAAACTTGAAGACTCTGTTGGTTTATTTGGATAGGTTGTATAGTATTTACAGTCATTACGTTCCTGTGGATATTGCGTGAATGACGGGTGGTTGGGCAGATATTGTGTTTTGCAGTAGGTGGTATGCCATACGGAACCGTTGTCCACTGAAACTGCTTTAACGCACCAGTGGGGCTCGACAGCCTTAGTCAAATGGGTTGGTGCGTATGGTTGGGTTGCGGAGGGATTGTGAGATTGTGGTTAGGTCTCAGCAGCAGGAGGGATGTAGAGGTCAGTAAGCTGGGCTGAGTTGAGTGGGGGACGGAGGGGGGTGACTCTGGGACGCAAGAGTCACTGTCGAGCCCTCTTGAGGTGTCGTGGGCTAGTCGACAAAACACTGAGGACGGAAGGTGCCCACTTGAAGACACTAGAGATGTCCCCTACTCGGCTCAATCCAGACGGTTGTCGTGCTGGTCCTGTAGTTGCAGCCGTCGCGTGCGCTGACGCGCCAAGTACACTGCAGCCGTTAACGCCGGACAGAAGGGGAGTCACACCACCAAATGGAAAGAAGCGTAAATGGATGGAGAAGCATAGTTTACTGTAAAGCTACGTCTTAGTTTTGCTTATCTTGGGGAAAGCCGAGTACTTATCAGCATGAAGTTTTAACATCTACTCTCGTGTAATGGAAATCAATCATCCATATTCACCTTTCATATTTCACTTCCAAAATATTTAAACTGATTAAAAATACAACCTATAATATTTAACAGGCGGTTTTCAGTTCATTTTATTTCGCTTTGCAAATTCGCTTCCACAAATTCAGTGGTTTAAATTCGACAGTAAATTCAACGTTGACATCCAGGAGCTGCAGGAAAAGCAGTAGATTACCGAGCATAATCTCCATCTGCTGTTAGTCGACCTCACCAGCAGGGAGTGCAAGCGCGTGTTGGTGACGAAGACCAGAGCAACAGTTAGAGCAAGCCAACTTCAATCTATTTGTATAGACGGTTTCATCGAACGCACGCGCGTTGCCCGGGTTACGCACTGGCCCGAAGTTAACTTCCGGTCTGTGTTAGTTAACCGGTAATATCATAATATCATAATATCATTCTCTGGTAATATGGCGCCGACTACAAACGCAGTGAAAATTAAGGTGATGAGTAGACTGATGTTGGGCTCAGGTTGTTGTGTTGTGGGATGCAACCTGAGGCTTTGGGACAAATACCTTATCAAAAATAAAAAAATTTGGTTTCCTAAAAACGAAGGGAGACGGCGAGCGTGGATCACCGCTGTGCGATGAGAGGCTTGGCAGCCAGGCAAGAATTCAAGGATCTGTAGCACTCACTTCGTTACAGGTAACAACCTCATGATAAGCAACAGATAATTATGGAAGCTTGTTTCCGGCCACTGAAGAATAAAAAAATAATAATAATTGCGACTTTTTATCTCACAATTGCGAGATAAGAAGTCAGAATTGTGAGAAATAAAGTTGCAATTCTGAGAAATAAAGTCGCAATTGCGAGAAAAAAAGACAGATCTCTTATCTTTTATCTCACAATTCTGACTTTTTTCTCACAAAAAGTCTATGGTTTCTACAGATGAACTCTGTTGTTATTGACTCTACCGGAAGTTAAGTTTGGGCCACAAAAGCGCGCATGCGCAGTAACGTTTGTTTATGTTGTTGCCGTTGAAACCGTCTATAAATTGCACATTATGCCTGACACCTACGTGAACACTTTACAGTACAGTTGGTTTTATGACTGTAAGTTGTTTTCTTCAAATGCTATTGAAGTTAGAAACGTGTATACCAATGTCGAATGTAACTTTAGAGACGGTCCCTAAATGTGCGAATGTCCAATGTCAAGCCAACATTATGCCAGTATCACTGAAGAAACGCTCAGCATTAAACTTTGCGCATTAAGTTCATATTCTGAGTCCTTCTGCTAGCCTGCGAGTTTGGTCTTTTATATCACTGTATTAGTCCATTAAGCTAGGTTAAGCGTTTTATATGTCCAGCAGGGGAATCCTGACGTATTGAGGGAAACCCCCATGCCGCAACTAAACAACCAAGAGAAATATATGTCAAACTCAAATGTAACACTGGATCTGTACATCCGCATCGGGGGAATAACATTATAATCTTATTCACGGTAGAGAAAGATGCATGTAGGCTACACAGGAAAAGTAATTGTGAAGACACTGAATTTCACATAAAACAGACATAATCACAGATACACTTACATTATTGTAAATAAGTTTTTATGAATGAATGGCTTGCGCTAACTGTTGCTCTGGTCTTCGTCACCAACATGCGCTTGCACTCCCTGCTGGTGAGGTCGACTAACAGCAGATGGAGATTATGCTCGGTAATCTACTGCTTTTCCTGCAGCTCCTGGATGTCAATGTTGAATTTACTGTCGAATTTGAACCACTGAATTTGTGGAAGCGAATTTGCAAAGCGAAATAAAATGAACTGAAAACCGCCTGTTAAATATTATAGGTTGTATTTTTAATCAGTTTGAATATTTTGGAAGTGAAATATGAACGGTGAATATGGATTATTGAAATTTTACTAATGAAAATGCGTTTGAAATGTTTTGAATTTAAATATTCACAGCTTAAATATTCAATCATGCTAAATTTTTTAGCCCATAAAAATGCAAGCCCTAAAAATACAATGCGTTAAAATATAAGCAGGGGCAATGCATATTTTTTTCAAGTAGTACAATTCAACAGGCTTTATTTTTCAAAAACATTTGGCATTATTTTACTTCCATAGAACCGTAACACACTCTTTGAGTCGTCAGAAATACTGTACTGTATTTTTCTTGAAATCGTATGATTATATGTAATTTAGGGTCATAAACATGCAAAGTTTCAACTCTCAGTGATGTGACTGTCTAATGTGCGTACGATATTCCTATTATGATTTTGATATTGGTTTATTGATCTCCTGCACTGACACCATTATATGAGAACTGAACTGAGCTGGACGATGACATCACGTTTTCTCCAGAGCGGCTATGTAAAAATATACATAAATGAACTAAATTAATAACTTTTTTACAACAAAAATGAATCAACAGCGAACTTACTTAAGCTGGACTGACGCTATTCTCTTCTGGATCAGAACTAACTCAGAAACAAACTTTGTTGTATTATTTCCTGTTATCTCTGTAAAGCTGCTTTGAAACACTCTGTACTGTAAAAAGCTCTGTATAAATAAAGCTGACGACATGACATGTTAGTAAAGTTCATATTTAAAGGCAGCTGCACAGACCCAAAATAAACCCCCCAAAATTATGTGTTTTGTCATGTCAGTTTCTAAACTGCCCTGTCTGAGGGCATTTATGTTTACATTGATGCATTTGGCAGATAATTTTATTTGAAGAAAGAAATGAGGATGCATTAAAGGCACTTTTTCAATATGTAACCAATAAAAAAGAACATTTTTAGAACATTTAAAAAACTACGTTTTGAGGATTAAAACAACATTCAGTTTTTTGCCTTTTTTCTTTTTTTTGCCATTGCTAATGTCTTAGGGGCTGTTTACAAGACACCATTTTCAACTAAAAGCGTAAAACTTTTTATGAGTTTTGGCCGTTCGTTTACACGACAACGGCATTTTGGGCGCCTGAAACCGCAAACTTTTGAAAACGGTCTCTGTGTAAACAACAAAACCGTGAATCTCTGAAGGCGATGACATCATGCATATGCTTATTACATGTTTGTCAATAGTGTTTCATCGCTACCTACTGGCCCAGCACCAGAATACTGAAGCCAAAAAATTATCCTTAATTTTGCATTAATGTAAAACGCATTGCTGCACAGAGCAGACCTAGGCAAGGCGGCTTGCGTGCCTATTGGTTGCTCTGCAGCAACTGCTGTAACCTATCGAGGGACTGTTCATGACGTAAGCACCAATGAGGGCGCCGGCGCCCGTGCACGTCACGTCCCGCAAGAATGGGTGTGGCTTATGTCTATATAAGCCGAGTCCAAATAGGGTGTTCTTTGGTTTTTCATACTGAAGCGAAACCAGAACGCAGCACAAGCATGGTTACGCAACACTCGTTCCCTCGAACCGAGGTTACGTTAGTAACTGAATACGTTCTCTTACGAGAGTTCTCTCATGTTACGAGAGTACTTACATTACGAGAGTACTTACGAGAGTACTTTACGGGAACCCAATGTAAAACGCAGTGCGTGCTGGGGTCATCCACACATGGCCCCAAGGGCATGTGCCCAGGGTACAAATGATTGTGGGTAATATCTAGGCCAACGATGAGTGGGCCTATGAATATAACATAGCCATATATATATTTAATGGAATGGGTGCTTAGCACAGTATAAAAGTCAGGATGGACGAAAGTCAGCCTGAGCTGCATGACAAAATGATAATACAGTCTGTTAGTCAGGCACGTTTTTAGACTGGAAACAGCTTAGCCTGTAGGGCAGGAACTTCCAGGTTGAAAAACCTTATAAATGTAGACGGAGAGGCCCAGCCTGCCGCCATACAAATATCCTGGAGTGAAACCCCACTCGACCAGGCCCATGAAGAGGCCATGCCTCTGGTAGAATGGGCTCTAATGCCTAAAGGGCACCGAAGGCCTTTAGACTTATAAGCCAGAGTGATAGCGTCGACTATCCATCTGGAAAGGCTCTGTTTCGAGGTGGCAAGCCCTTTAGTGCGGCCACCAAACGAAACAAAGAGCTGTTCTGACAGCCTGAAAGCAGCCGAACGTTCAATGTATATTCTTAGCGGCCTGACCGGGCAAAGAAAGATTTACGTCGTTCTCAGTATCAGATCCTGGGAGGGCTGTTAGGGAAATGACTTGTGCTCTGAACGGAGTGGAGGCGGATTACTTTAATAAAAGTAAGCGTGAGCCAGTTTTATTGATGTGGGCCGTGAATGAGTGTGTGTCATTGAACGGGCCGTGCTTATGTGTAGGGGTGAACACTGGGAAGTGGGCACATTTCCTACATTTATAACACAATCGGCGTGAGCCGGACAAACAGACATAATGCTCTTTTTGAGATTTTTCTGGGTGGCCGCGAAAACGGCCTTTGGGTACAGGCGAGCGTCTTCTGCACCTCCAAATAGTGCTCAGTGAAGCCTTTAACCGCCGGGCCGAAGAGACCGGACGGAGACACAGGTGCGTCGAGGAAAGTGGCTCTGTCTGACTTCTTCATGTCGGACAAAGTTAGCAACAGGTGTCTCTCAGTGACAGTGAGAGATGCCAGTTCCTCCCGATGGCCTGTGCAGCGGACTTGGTGGCCCGTAGCACTAAGTCCGTAGCGCTTCTGAGGTCCGTGAAATGTTCCGGATTCGGGCCCGCCTCGTCCATGGTGCGGAGAAGGTTGGCCTGATACATTTGAAGCACCGCCATAGAATGAAGCGCTGAAGCGGCCTGACCGGCGGCGGCATAGGCGCGACCGATGAGAGCCGAAGTAGTCCTGCAGGCTTTTGAGGGCAGAGCGGGTTTGGACTGCCATCCAGCGGAGGGCAGGCATAGATGCGTGGCTACCGCTTCCTCGACCGGAGGAATGGAGAGGTAGCCATTGTCTTTTGCGGCAACAGAGAGCGTCGAAGAGACAGTAGACAGCAGCCTGGCAGAAAATGCCGCCTTCCAGCTTTTAGATAGCTCCGCGTGTAATTCCGGCAGGAAGGGAGCGGGCCTCGTGTGAAGCGTCGAGCGGTGTCCAGGCAGGAAACAGCCGTCAAGCCTGCTGGGCGCGGGTTCCTCGGGCAGCGACCAATCGAGGCCGAGGTCCTCCCCGGCCTTAGTAATGAGGCGGAGAAGTTCAGCGTCGAAGCTAGCCCGCACACCGCTCGACTCTTGCAAGGAAGGGGCGGGGTCCGGAATGGAGCCCGACCATCCTCCACTCTCTGAGGCGATGAGAGAACAGCTGTCCTCTTCCGTGTTGTCCCCGTCGAACTCGTGTTGCACGGCGGGAGCGGTGGGGCGCTGGCCGGCTGTGATCGAGGTGGGGGAATCAGAAAGAGATGCACACGGGGAGTTAGCCGGCGTGCATTCGTCCACAGGGATGACCTCCAGGGCTCTCTGTGAGCAGCGCTTCTTACAGCACGGCCCAGACGAGAGAAGCGGAGGGGCGGGGTCCACGCTGAAGGTGGCTAGTCGAGCCCGCAGGGTCGAGTGTTGCGTAACCCTGCTTGTGCTGCGTTCTGGTTTCGCTTCAGTATGAAAAACCAAAGAACACCCTATCTGGACTCAGCTTATATAGACATAAGCCACGCCCATTCTGGCGGGACGTGACGCGCACGGGCGCCCTCATTGGTGCTTACGTCATGAACAGTCCCTCGATAGGTTGCAGCAGTTGCTGCAGAGCAACCAATAGGCGCGCGAGCCGCCTTGCCTAGGTCTGCTCTGTGCAGCAATGCGTTTTACATTAATGCAAAATTAAGGATAATTTTTTGGCTTTAGTATTCTCGAGAAAAGGGATTTTCCCGTAGCGTAAGTTAGCTTACGCAACACGAGAGTGCTCTCGTAAGAGAACTCAAAGGAAACACGTCTCCGTTTTAAGCGTATCGTTGTCGTGTAAACGAACTCTAAGTTAATGAAGGAGTGTGTCCTCACCTCCGCAGGCTGAGCTGAAGTGAGAGAACACGGGCTCGCTGGATCTGCAGGAGATGGCTTTGGCCTGACACATGGAGTAATAGTGGGATCCGTCCAGCGTACACGCCTGCTTATCCTGACGTGGACACTTGTACGGCATCTTACAGACACACTGTCCCGAGATACAGCGCCTCCATGGAGGACAGAACACTTTTGAGCAAGACAACCGGGTGTACATCTGACACTGAGTCGGTCCCTCAGCAGAGTTTTTTGTTTTTTGTTTTTCAGTTTGGGGTTTTGTGGTGGGTTTTGGTGTTTTCTTCGCCACGATATCTGACTCTGCTTGGGTTGAATCTGGTTTCTCCTCCAAGTTTGGATCCGGTTCGACTATTAAGTGTGAATCTGTTTTTTCCCCCAACTTTGAATCTGGGGTTTCCTTCAAGTTTGGATCCGGTTCGACTATTAAGTGTGAATCTGTTTTTTCCCCCAACTTTGAATCTGGGGTTTCCTTCAAGTTTGGATCCGATTCGACTACTAAGTGTGAATCTGTTTTTTCCCCCAACTTTGAATCTGGGGTTTCCTTCAAGTTTGGATCCGGTTCGACATTTAAGTGTGAATCTGGTTTTTCCACCACAACTGCACTAGTGCCTGTGGTTTCTGGGTTTGGCACTGGACACGGACACGGACACTGACACTGCGCTGGAGTAAAGCCAGGTTGTGGGGTTTGGTGTTGGGTTCCCTCGGGTGCTGGATCTTCCTCCAGAGTCTAATAAGATAAAACAAACTTAACTTAATGTCAAATGTACATCAATCCATTAACTAGGATAAGCTTGTTTCCGCTACGGAATATAAAAGGGAATTGCTACTTTTTACCTCGCAATTGTATTTTATAAACTCATAATACCAAACATCGCAGTTTTAACGTCAGAATTGTGAGATAAAGAGTGGCAATTACAAGCTTCCATAATTCCATAATTCACATGTTAATGTAGTTGAATAAATAACAATAGTAATGTGCCATCAATCTAAATGATGTTAAAACTATTAATACTGTAGGAAAATGAACATGACGTGAGTAAACGACGTAGATTAATTTGTCTGCTAGTAGTTTGATAAACTGGTGAATCACAGGAGTAAAAAGCAGATGAGCATAAGAAAGTGATCTGAAAGTGAGAGAGTTGCAAGATTTCGCAATTGTTGATGGTGTCCGCCCCGATCACAAAACTGTGATGCCTGAGGATGTCTTATCACAAATGTGAAAGCACCATCACATGCTGTAGTCAATAATTTTATCCCTTAGAACTCATCTTTGATCACCAAATGACATATTTAAGGGTTTTTTTTCTGTGAAAAAAATTATTCATGCCTTAAAATAGATTGAATGTAACTCGACACCCTTGCCTCATTTAGTATACGTGATTCTATGAATATGCAAATGAGCCCCGCCTCCACCCACTCACTCAGCTCAGAGATCCACTCGGCCAACTTACTGAAGTAAACGCTGCACAAAAGTATCGCTCTTTACAACGTTGGACACAGAAAGGTAATTAATATGATTATATTAGCCTTTTGATTGACAGCTGATAATGTGTTGCTAACGTTACACAAAACATGTTTCCGTTCGCCATCTCAGTCTGCCTTCTAACAATCATCAGAAATGCTTCGAACAACTCAGAACGTCAGTGGAGAAAGGCGTATAGTTCATCATAACATCGTTATACATCCTAAACCCGCTATATTGCTAAATCGACCCAATTTTTCATATCTACAGAAAAATATACCGGGATAACCTGCTCCTCTCGAGACTGCCCTGCTAGTTCCCTGTTAATGATATGCTAAAGCCCGCCCACACGTTGATCTGATTGGTTACAAGGTCGTTTGTGACGTCAGAAACACCAGCGATTTCAAACCGTGTGTTTGAGACTAGGCTTGTTTGAGATGAGCAAAATCTGCGCAGAACCGATCACCGGTGATCAGCGCGAGATGCATGCCGGTTAGAAATGTGTCCGAGTGCGGTCCGCGTTGCTCTGATGTCATGCTGACGTGTGTCAAAAAACTCTCGCGACCGCAAGGCGCACGTGTCGGATTCTGCAGTCGCGCGCAGTTGCTCTCCACCGACTGCGCTGATCAAAAGCATGATGGGAAACGACTTGCTGACGGCACAGCTTAATGCTCATTGGTTTAAACAACCGTGATGTATTGTTCTCTTTTAAAATGTTTGATTTTAAAACTCTGATATCATGTTTTATGTGTATAGATAATGTGTGGATATCCCCAAACTCTCTGACAGTGCGATCTATGTGATGTAATTTAAAAAAAACACAAAAAAACACATAGGCCTATCTGTATTAAAGAAAAAATTATTCATAAACATATAGACCTATTTAAAATGGAATTAAATAAGTACTTTGGGTGTCTTGTTCATTATATTTATTTTCATATTTGTCATGATATTGAGCCAACTTGATAATGAACTCAGCCACTTCATGATGAACTCAGTCTGCCTTTATTAACATGCGCAGTTTCGAACAAAACTCTCAGTCGTTCCTGACCCCGCCCCCGTTGCCCAGCAACGCTGGACCCTGCAGCTAACAGTCAATCACAACTTGTACATATATCACCACATCTCCCCTCTTTAAAGTAGCCTACTACTACCTCAGCATTATTATTATTATTTCCAGGAACAAAGAAAGAGGCAGATTATTCATAAAATAATTATGTAAGATATATAGAACAATATCAAGTGTTTACCACAGCCAATCTCTTTGACATAACCTGTCAATAAACAAAACATGTTACAGCATTCATTAATTCGCATTTTTCCTCCTGTACTGCTCTTACATGCTATAAGAATTAGCATGCAAGAAAACTCTTTACATCAACATTATCACCAGCATCAGCATGGTGGTTATTATTACCTAGCCCAACACATAATCCTGAAACTTTGCAGGCTGTTTTACTTCTCTGCCAGCAAGGGTTCTTTTGCAGGTGGGTGTACGTATATGTGGTGTGATGGGAGGTGAGGTACTAGACCCATTCTCAGAGTTTGTGTATAAATCAGTCTCAAGAGAGGGTCCATCAGTTAATTCACTGTACCCATGTACAATCTGTCTGTCGGGTGTTTCAGGTGTTTCTGGCTTCTCCGGAACACTCTGGATGTGTCTCCGGTTCCGACGAGAGATTGTACCTTCCTTTGTTTGTACAATGTATGACCTTGGTTCAGGAGCTTTTCCGACGACCGTTGCCGATGTTTTCCATCCCTTTTCTCCATCCAACTTGACTTTCACGCTTTGTCCTGGATGTAAGTCGGGTAAACCACGTGCTGAGTAGCGTCGGTTGTAGAAGTACTGGTAAGCCTGCTTGGTTTGTTTATCCTTCCATCTGACTTGTTCATAGTCAATTGGACTTGGTAGCAGGTTCTTTGGCAGCATCGGAACTGTTGTTCTGATCTGACGTCCGATCATAAGTTGAGCTGGGCTCAGTCCAGTAGCACTGATAGGTGTAGAACGATAGCTCATCAGAGCTAGCTGTGGATCTGGCTGTCTGAGCATCCGCTTTGCAATAGCAACACTCCTTTCAGCGGCACCATTAGCCTGCGGATAATGAGGGCTGGAAGTAGTGTGAGTGAAATTGTATGTCGTTTTAAACTCTGCAAACTCAGTGGCCGTGAACTGAGTAGCATTGTCTGTCACAAGTTCATAAGGGATCCCCCATCGAACAAACATGTTTTTCAGATGTGTGATTACCTGCTGGCTTGTGATGGCTTGTAGTTGAGCAATCTCAATATCACGAGAATAATAGTCCACGACTATTAGGTATTTCTTGCCATTAAGTTCACAGATATCAGCCGCAATCTTTTGCCATGGACCCCTGGGAAGGGAGATGACCATCAGAGGCTCTCTGTTTTGTGTGGGCTTGTTGACTTGGCAAAACTCACACGTCTCGACTATTTTTGTGATGTTCTTGCCAATTCCAGGCCACCATACGGACATGTTAGCTCTTTCCCTACATTTAGTAAGACCTTGATGGCCTGTGTGAAGCTGATGTAACACCTCATGTCTCTGTGAGCCTGGAATCACTATTCTGTCTTTATACAACAAAAGTCTACCAATTTCTGAGAGATGAGCTCTGACAGTGTGAAACTCGTGGAGTGAGTGGGACAGTTGAGACATCTGACTGGGCCAGCCTTGGTGAATGTACTTACAAACTGACTGAAGATCTAAATCATCCTGCGTGGCTTTCCTTATGGCACTTAACCTGTCTTCACTTATAGGCATAGTAGACAGTACTGCCTGTACGAACGCCTTGACGTCATCCTCTGTGTCAGACTCGCCCTGATGTGTCAATGGGTTTCGTGACAGAGTGTCGGCCACCACGAGCTGTTTGCCTGGCACATGCACTGCTTTGACATTAAATCTCATCAGGCGCATTAGTAGTCGCTGACATCTTACGGGAGCTTTGTCAATATCATATGCATTTATTAAGGGCACAAGAGGCTTATGGTCAGTCTGAAGTTCAAATTTGTCCATACCTTGTAGGTATCGAGAGAACCGCTCACATGCCCACACTCCAGCCAGGCACTCCTTCTCGATTTGTGAGTATCGGCACTCTGTCTCTGTTAATGTCCTTGAACAGAAAGCGATGGGACGTCGTCCGTTCTCATGTTCCTGCAGCAGGGCAGCTCCGAGGCCATAGCTGCTTGCGTCCGCACTGACCACTGTGGTTCTGTTGGCATCATAGAATGCTAGTGCTGGTGCTGTAGTCAACAAGCGTTTGACCTTCTTGAACGCCTGTGTCTGAGCCTCACCCCAGACCCATTCTGTGTCACTTTTCAGTAGCTCAGTCATCGGATGAAGAATTGACGAAAGAGCCGGAACAAATTTGCCCAGGTAATTAATCATCCCTAATACCTGTCGCAGTTCAGTCACATTCTTAGGGCTCGGAAGCTCAGTTATGGCCCTCACTTTATTTGCATCAGTCCGGATTCCATCCTTTCCGATGACATGTCCAAAGTACTGAATCTCAGATTTTCCGAAGTGACACTTCTCTTTATTCAACTTTAGACCAGATTCTCTGATGGTCTTCAAAACTGCCTTGAGGTTGTTATCATGTTCCTCCTTATCTCTACCGAACACCAGTATATCGTCCATCACAACTACAGTGCCGGCATGGTCTTTAAGAAGAGTGCTCATTTCTCTCTGAAATATCTCCGGAGCCGAAGTGATACCGAAGGGTAGTCTCTGAAAACAGAAGCGGCCCACTGGGGT